GCTTCACTGCCACCACTGATGCGGATGTAGAACAAGAGATAGGCTTGCTGTCGAAGCACCTACGACACCGACGGCTGGCAGTTGCCACTGTCAAACTGTCTAACTCTGTTGGAAAACATCTGTGAGTTTGACTTTCTCCACACTTCTATGCCAACTTGTGGCTATTTCTTAAGCTCTCATGCGAACTCTCCAAAAAGCATCCCATGAAAAAGGGTGTTTCATATAGCATTTCACCGTAATACATTGGGGTTTCCTGCAAATCGATCTCCAAAACCATACAGTAGGTTTCAATACTAAAATGATCTAATTTTGGATGATTTGGGGGATTGTCCATTTTAATCATCCATTTTAATAGGATTTTCCATTATAAACTCTTCATTTTGCATCTCCTGCAGGAAACCGCTATGGCATCACCGCTCCGTGGGGCACAAACTCTTCCTCGACTTCCTGAATGATGCCTCGATATGCCGGGAGACTTTGAGGCTGAACCAACCAACAGCTCTTCATTAAAGTTATGATATGAGCAATACATAAATCAGTAAACAGTGATAGATTCTATGCAGAAATTCGTATACATATTACATACATATATATATATATACACTATGGTATGTTATACAATGTAATACATAGTTTATATATATATTATTTGGTTGAGCAAAAGAGCTTATTTAGTGCTCCACGCCACCGAGGTGGATCAGGCTCCAGAATTCTTTGCTGCCAGGCCGCTATCGTCGATCAGGAACCATCGGAAAACGCCTTTTCCTTGGTGGACCATGGAATCCCAACTGGTTGGTGGTTGACCTACCTATCATTGGTTGGTAATATACTGTTAATATATGGTTAATATATATATATATGGCTCATATATGGTTAATGATAATAATAATCTGGTTGGTGGTTGAGCCCTACCCCTCTGAAAAATGATGGAGTGAAAGTCAGTTGGGATGATGACATTCCCAACTGAAGGGAACAAGAAAATAGGTTCCAAATCACCAACCAGGCAATATCGAATCTGGGGCGGATGTTCGGATGGGCGCTATGGGGCTCCCGTGCAATCCAAATCATCCCGGAAAACCAATTCTGAGAGATTCGAAGACAAAAATGTGGGGTTCCAGAAATGGGGGTACTGCAGATAGCCCTTTATATATCGCTGGATGATGCTGGATGATTTATCATGGAAAATCCCATCTATAAATGGATGATGATGATAATTTTCCATTTATAGATGGGATTTTCCATGATAAATCATCCATTAATCCATTTATAGATGGGATTTCCATTTATAAATGGATGATTATTTAGGGGTGCCCCCATTTCTAATGGAAATGCCATGAATCCACCCAGAGAAGTTTCGAAAAACCCAGCTGAAAGGGGATCCAGATCCCATCGACATGCCAGAACTGTCAAAGATCAGACATTTGGATGACCAACTCCCAGAAAAAAAACAGATCATGTGGGTAAAACAATGGAAAATAAACAACCCATGACTGGGAATGGTAGTCACATATCACCTATAAAAATGGTGATGACTGGGGGATGGTTTATGATTTGACCCAGATTAAACCATTTTTCACCACCCAATGTCCCTTTTTCTTGGTAAATCCACTGCCTAGTGGCGATGCGTGGCGCCCTTCACAAAGGCGATGTAGTGCCCAAAGTGGGAATAGCCCGCCTCCAGCGGTGCAGCGATGGCATACTGGATTTTGATACATCTTGGATCATCTTGGTACATTTGGATATGTATGAAAAATAGAGTACTGCTTAATCATCATGTCTTTCCACATTGACATAGCCATTTTGGGTTCCATTTTCAGACACACCCATTTTGTGGCTTTGTGTGGCACATCTCTGTAGATTTCCGAGGGGTTTGCATGGATTCCTTTGTAGATTTTCCATGGTCAATCTTGGTAGTGCACAAAAAAAATCCATCTTTTGCTGAATGGCTGATGACTCTCCTGTGGCAAAAACTAAAGGATTAAAAATTAAAATGTTTAGATTAAACTACCTATCCAGTTGGTTGAGGATGGTGTGTACATATATATATATTAATATATATATATATATATAAACACTTACGGGTATTTTATTATCCATTAGTTGTTTGGTATATCCCGTTATATCCCCATGATTAACCACTAAGTGATATTATCCCATTAGCTGTTGGTTATATTCCAGCTATATTCCCATCATCTTCCCATTATCTTCCCATTGAACCAATGTATCAACTACAACAATATACTGTACAACAATTGCCAATGGTTCGTTGATTTACCTACGTATTGAAAATTGTGTTTTTCCATAGTTTTTTGTCTGTTTACCAGAGGGTAAATTCATCCAGTCCGTTGGGTTTTGATAGATCCCCAGCCCCAAAAAGCCTTGTCCACGTGCACGATGACCGCGCGCAAACTTGGTGCGAGTTCGTTTTGTGATAGCATTCATAGGTAACGATGGTCAGGTGCACAACTACAATCAATGGGAAATTCAGGAATCGTTTTTTCCTCACTTGCAAATCGTAATGTTGGAAGGCCCACTTTGGCCTAAGCAAATGAGCAGTGTTCAAAACCCCTGTTGGTTGATGATTATAGGGGATTATACTACCCAATATATTGAGGATTATAATAATCCAATGGGGGAATCCTATTAATCAAATATCGATACAACAATCATCAAATAAATAATGTCTATATACATAATATGGGTGATTTATGGTAATTTAATGTAACTTATGATATATCAACTACCACAATATACAACAATCATAAAATAATGTGTATAAATCTATGGGTTTTTCTAATTCAATTTATGGAACATATACGGGCAATTTGCAATTTATACTATTTCACTAATCTGATGAAAGGCTATGTTGGGATAATTACCCCGGAATAACCATCTTCGGCGGACTCCTGAGCTGCCAGACTCGTAGTTCACCGGTCGACCTTCACCCTGTGCACCTGATTTTTTGAAGCTGAGAGATCATGAATTAATCGGTTTTCATGTGATAATATAGGAATATAGGATAATAATTTACGATAATGGGAATATCATGGGAATATCATGGGAATATCATGGAAAGATCATAGAAGAATCATAGAGATTTAACCAGCAATCATGAAGACGTAGGTAGGGTGATGGAAAGGGGAATATCATTGGGATATAGGATCGTATAGGATCGTATAGGAATATCATATTTTAGAGAATTGGAGACGTATGGTGATGCTGATTTAACCATTGCCAATCTTAGATACCCTGCAAAAAATAAATTCTTTGCTGGTGAACGTAGATATTCCCATTATTACCAAAAGACTAAAGGATTAGTTTGTATCCATGTAAGATCGACCTAGTGGTTTAACCAGCAAACATGGAATATCATTTGGACATCCTAAAAGAATCATATTTTTAGAGGATAATCCAACGAATCGCTTCATGGGACGATACACTTTACTTGGGCACCCATCCTGTGGTCCCAGTGATATTAGCGTTTTTATCATATAATTTTTGATCCCGTACATCTACCATGGATTACCATGGTGACTTTGGGTGTTTAATATGAACGTGGGAACGGATTCTACGAAAACAATTCTGAATTGGGAGTAATTTTCTATTGTACTAGTATACTCAGGCTGCTGATGCGGAGAATTCTACAAAGTGCAATCAAATTGAGCAAATCAGACTTGGCTATGGATCAATACCTATAAACACCATTTTTAGAGGGATGAACATCCATAAATCCCAGCTACAGTATTTTGATGTAAACTACAGGGGTACTTTGGGTGACTTGACCCATCTTCATGAAGTTTCACCCCTTTCTCCCAAGACATCAATAGATCAACAAAAGTTGCGCCTTTGCACAAGTAGGGTCGCAGGTTCAGGACAGGTGGGAAGGGCACAATCTTCACGACCTGATCGAGGGGTTTACCTCGCTTCATGAGGTTGCTGGACTTTTTTGGGACAGGGTACAGGTATGGCCCTCAACAGTTGCAAATGGGTTTATAATGATATATGATATATAATGATATATATTGATATATAAAATCTCAGTTATAGGACTTATCATTCCATGTACAACAGTTGAGGGCCGTAACTGTAGCTTCGGATAACAGTTATACCACCATCTTTTGGACGCTAACGGATCAGGCCACGCAGCAACCCGGCCTTGCCGCGTTCCATGAAGCGGAATCGCTTCCTTATGCGGACGCTAGGGGGGCGAATATCAAAGCGATGACATGGAAAATTGACAGCCTGGGTATGTCTGAGAATGGGGTATCCCCTGTAAATCACCACTGAAAAAGAAAAATAGTGACTATAATTCACTGGAATGGGGGATACCCTATTTTCAGTCAAAACCAGCCATGGTTTCCTAAGTCAAAGGGCTCCCCCAGTCATCCTCCATTTCTAGATCGGAATTTCCATGAAATAAACTCTATAAACCATCCATTTCTATTACTAGCATCCATTTTTCATCGAATTTTCCATGAAATCAACCATATACAGTAAATCCATATAAACCATCCATTTCGACAAAGGGCAACCCCCATTTTCCTTAGGAAACCTCCCCGTTAACCACAAACTTTTACCATGACCTCCGAGGTGCAGATGCAGCACCAGAAAGTTGGGCGCTTGGTAGATCATCATCCTGGCGTCGGAGGTAAAGGGGGTAGCCTCTGCTAATATCATGGTATCATTATATGGAAATTATATTATCATTATTATAGTGATGGTATTTTTTTTGGCTCGACAGCGCCTGGTCAGCAGTCAGCAAAGAGGGCCTGTTCCGGAAACTGCACATTCCGGATATGGCTATAGCAAGGAGGAGTGTGGAAGGAGGGCCAGCAGCAGCCATTCCACACAAAAGGACGAGTCTCCTGGATCCAAAGCCCAGTCATCAGTCGCCCTGATAAGACGCCAGGTCAGTTCTCCTGTTCCAGCTTGAAACCGGGGTCGTTGAGGATCGCCGTCGGCATGCCTTCAAGGTACGATTGTAGGGCATGGCGCTGCTGTGTCAGGCCTTCCGCGACTCGAATTAAGGCCTCAGACGCGGCCTTGCTCTCGATCAACTGGACATGCGGAAGCGTTCCCGGTTTCAGAATCGCAGTTACGCCCACAATCCCCTGCGCGCTTCGCCCAATGCCGCAATGGACTGCGTACGCCTGTGCCTGTCCGCTGGTGCCAATGCTACCAGTTACGGAATAAACAGTTGGAGGGCTGAAAATGCGTCACAACAGCACCTCCGCACCGCCCTCCTTGGCTTGATGAACAGTGCCCTGGGCAAATACTCCCTTTAACGTGGCTCCAGTTAAAGTAACTTTGGGTCCTGGTGAGAAGCTGGGCGCCATTGCCTGGCTCTGAGTGTCAGGTGACAGAACCGCGACCCCATCCGTAAATCCCGTTGAAGGCTCGGTCGCGTCGGGAGGGAGCCTTATTGACTTGGCACTAGTGATGGTAATTAATGTAATATATGGATGATATGGATAATTAATGTAATAATGATGTCATAATCACAATGACAGAGGGTAATATATGGATAATTTCCATGTAATATCATGGATAATCATCATGATATTAGTATAGATATTAAATAATATCCAAACATAATCATAATGATTTTAATAATGGGATAATTAAGGTAATATCATCCTGCTGCCCATAAAAATAACCAAACACCAATTAAGTTATAGATTATTATCTCTATTCAGATATATATATATATATATTAATATTATTACTATTATCATCAATATTATACAATCGATTATAGATATGTCAGGTGGGTACAGCAACTTTGAACTTTTCCCTCTGGTATTAACTAGCTGTAAGACTTTGCGACGTGGTTTTCACTACCTTGAAAAATCATAGATCATCAAAAATTGCCATCAGCCATCGATATTTTCCGTAGCGAAGTGGTAGAAAACAGACCAAGGCACACAGATCCCCATGGTGCAGAAGTTTCTTCATCACTTCATCAATTTCAATGTAAATATCAGAAAAAATAGAAAAATAATGAAATAAATTACTTTCAATCATCAAATTACCAATAATGTCCTTTTGGTAAAAATAGAGGGGGCGGTTTGGTATACCATCTATCATCATTTACCTGTTGTTAAAAAGGACAGCTAGGCTATGCTGAGTTCACTTACTCATCCACTTGATTCTGTCAGCCCAAAACCCACCGCTTGAAGGATTCCCAGCTCACAGAAGGGTCCATAGACACCAACCAGCGCGACCCAGTTAACATACCCCATCTTTAACCACCACCATCAATCATCATATCTCATCATATCCCCATATTTTGCCACTTAATCTCAGCTTTATTTGGTTGCCAAACAATCCGTTCATACCTACCAAGATGACGGGTACCCGGGGGTCAACTCTGAGGCTGCAGCTGCTTGCGAGCTCGCACCACTTCGGAGCACGCCTCACACCTCCGCTCGGTAATTTAACGTTAGCGAACTGGAAAATCACCATGTTGAAGAACGGCAATTTTATCGTCGAACTATTCATGGGCCATGGCTTCCACAGCAAACTGTTAAGCAACCAGAGGGTATATGATCTTATCCAAGGTTGGAATTCTGGGTTTTAGACCGATATGTTTCACACAGTCTTCATCAATTTTATGCACACGGTCTTAAATATCAGAGATTATCCTGATTTCTTTGAGGGTTTGTCTTAAGATACCCAAAATTTGATGAAACACCTCATTTTCCAGTCTTGAAAGGGCCATAAACTGGGATATAACACCAGTTTTTAGACAAACCCAAGTATCACACATATGTATATATGTTGTGTGTGTATACAATTGTATATATATATATATGTGTATATAATTGTATATATATATGTATATTATACATATATATATATATACATCATATATTATCTAAATGGCTGGTTATATGATTCTGTTTCGTATGTCCCCATGAAATACCATTGAAACATGAAATAACTGGCAGCCATGGAGTTCTACCCCCCTGCTTTGCATCACAGGTTTCCCGTCCACACATCTTGGTCCAAATTTCGATTGAAATCATCCCCAAATGGGAGTTGTTTATGGCATTGTCTTTCCCACATGTAGTACATCCAACCCCAAACAACATTGAAAATCTGAGTCTATGGCTATCATCCATGTCCATGAATTATCGTTAAGATCTTTATATATCCGGATTTCATTGGGAAAAAACTAACCCCAGCATACCATGGCTATATAATAATAATAAATAATAAAACTAATAATAATAATAAAAAATAAAAATAATAATAATATATAAAAATAATAATAATATATATATACCCTCTAGTTTCTTACTAACTCATCCAGTTATTCAGGGTACCACAGCCACATCTTGATCTATCAGCTATCATAGATCTGTGTATACTGTATACAGTTTGTAATAATATATATTGTTATATACTCCCATCAAATACATCATGTACCCATTCACAAAGTACCATATAAAACATCAGATCTAGACCATATATTTACTTTCCATCACAAAATAATTCACATCCCATATTCAAAAAAATCATCATTAAGTACCATATTCACCAACACAAGATCTAGACCATATATTTACTTTCAAAATAATCAACATCCCCATTGCCCATAGAAAAAGTTGATTCTATTAAAAATGGTGATTTTCCATAGCTATGTCAACGTTTACCACAGGGTATATCACCATTAATCACCATTGATCACCATGAATTATCCTTATTAACAACTACTAATATCTATTAACCACTACTAACCATTATTAATATCACCATTACTATCATTATTAATATTACCAGAGGGTACCAAGGGTAGATCTTTCCAGGTCCACTTGGCCCGTGCCGCCAGGTCGCTGTAAGGGACTTCTACATTATTAAACATTATTAAATAAGGATTGTTAATATCACCATTATTATCCATATTACCAGATATTGCATATCACCATAATTATACTTCATCCCATCCCCCATCACCGGAAGCCACCAAGGTCGAACCCACCAAGGTCGAACCGCGGCGCTTCCAGGAGTTCTGCTTATCCAAACGTTCGGGCGCCGTGAAGAGCTTCAGCATGTCATCCAAGGTCTGGGTGGCCTGCGGGCGCTGCGCTGCCGTTTTCCGAACGGGGTGGCTTCCCATGGAAGTTGGGGGGTTTTCAGCACCAAATCAGCTGGGAAAAGGATGGGAAAACCATGGGAAAACGATGGTAAATAGTGGTAAAACCATGGTAAAATCATGGTAGAACGATGGTAAACCATGGTAAATGATAGTACATGATGGTAAAGTAATGGTAAAATAAAGTAATGATAAATAATGGTCAACATATAATGGTAGCTATGGACGTGAAGAACCCTCAAATTCATGAGGTGGGGACGCCTTGGTCAAAGGAATGGACTCTAGTGGCCCGAAACCAGTTCATCCACGCATGACCGAAAAACCTACAGATCCTACATGTGGTGGCTTGTTATTTGCCAATAAAATGGTTATACCCAAACTTATCACCATCTTTAAATAGTAACCCACAGCTAAGTATTAAATGCGTTGGGCATTACCCTTTACGGTAGCCAAGCAAGAGAAGGCACTTTTGATGGTGACACCAACATAGGGTAACCACTTTAGCTTGATATAATGTGGCTAGAACCAATCATACGAGGATGCTGGGGGGCAAGAACATCATCGAAGGAAGTTTAGAAGTCAAACTTCCGACAATATGGGCAGATGAAAAGCAGAGCAGGGAAGAGGCAGAGAGAAGAGAAAGATTAGAAGAAAGAAGGGTAGAAGAGAAAGAGTCAGAAGAAAGCAGATGCAGATGCGTGAAAAGGTAGGAAAGTCGCGAAACACTGTGTTTTTCCGGGTGCACAGCCAGCTGGCCAGATGAGAGATGAAAAATTGCACGCCGTTGTGGCGCGAAGCACATTTGCAAGTCAAAATGTACAAAGCACACCAGGTTCGGACCACTTTTACTAGTTGAGATGTCGAAAAAGTGCACGCCCTTGTGGCGCGAAGCACATTTGGAAGTCAAAATGTTAAAAACACTAGGGTTTGGACCACTTTTGGAAGTTCAGATCTCGAAAAAGTGCACGCCGTTGTGGCGCGAAGCACATTTGGAAGTCAAAATGTTAAAAACACTAGGGGTTCGGACCACTTTTGGAAGTTCAGATCTCGGAAAAGTGCACACCGTTGTGGCGCGAAGCACATTTCGAAGTCAAAATGTACAAAACACCACATGTTCGCGCCACTTTTGGAGGTTCAGATGTCGCAAAAGTGCACGCCGTTGTGGCGCAAAGCACATTTCCAAGTCAAAATGTTAAAAACACTAGGGGTTCGGACCACACTTTTGGAGGTTCAGATGTCGCTTCGCTTCGCTTCGCTTCACTAGATTACACTACACACCACTACACTACACTACACTACATTACACTACACTGCACTCCACTACACTACAACTACAACTACACAACTACACTCCACTACACTCCACTACACTCCACTACACTACACTACACTACATTACACTACACTACACTCCACTACACTACACTACACTACATTACACTACAATACCTTCCACTACACTTCACTACACTCCACTACACTACACTCCACTCCACTACAACTACACAACTACACTCCACCACACTCCACTGCACTAAATTACACTACACTACATTACACTACACTACATTACACTACCTTCCACTACACTTCACTACATTACACTACACTACACTCCACCACACTACAACTACAACTACAACTAGAACTACACTACTACACTCCACTAGCCTCCACTACACTAAATTACACTACACTACACTACATTACACTACACTACACGCCACTACACTACACTCCACCACACTAAATTACACTACAGTTCACTACATTACACTACACCCCACTACACTACACTGCATTACACTGCATTACGCTACACTACACTACCTTCCACTGCACTTCACTACATTACACTCCACTACACTACAACTACAACTACAACTACACAACTACACTCCACTACACTCCACTACACTAAATTACACTACACCTAAATTACGCTACACTACACTAAATTACACTACACTACACTAAATTACACTACACTACACTACATTACACTACACTACACTACATTCCACTACACTCCACTACACCACACTACATTACACTACACTACATTACACTCAATGACACTGCACCACAGATAGACAGGTAGACAAATAGATAGATAGACAGATAGACAGGTAGACAGCTAGACAGATGAAGGAGGGAGAGAGAGAGAGAGAGAGAGAGAGCTAGCTAGCTAGCTAGCTAGGTAGGTAGGTAGGTAGGTAGGTAGGTAGTCAAAGAAAGAGAGAGAAATAGTGAGAGAGATGAATCACCTTTCGTTCCATCAGTGGCTTCGCTCTGCCATCCCTGATTCACAACAACCAACCTCTCCTATAGGTTTCCTATTTTTGAAACTTCCGCCACCGCCTTGTGCGGTACTACTGGTATACCATATATTATGTAATGTTTTACCTAGAATTGGTGAAAAAATGTGCCTCCCCCCTATTGACCAACCACACAGTGGGAAAGGACATCTATGGGTTCGGAGTGGTGCAAGATAGATGGATCACGGATGGTGCAAATGAGCTAATCATGCAGATTTTCATGCTGATTGCTACGGATGACATAAATGGTATGAAATTCATGGAGATTTTCGCATAAAAAAGTCAGCAAATCCAATGGCCCCAACCTCAGGTTGAATGTCCGTCGTAAAGTCGGTGCGCGAGATAAAACCAAGCTGTGAGATCCTTCTTCATCACCACTGTTGGGCTCAAATTCTTGGCCCAGCTGCCAGCTGTCCTCTTGGATACCGCTTTTTGCGTGGCCAGGCCAGTGCATATCACAGTATGCCCAAACGCCCCATGTGGTTGGGCCCTGCTCACTAACTATCCTGACAGGTGAGCCTGGAGCTCATCCCAGGCCCACTGGGTGAATATGGCACCTTCTGAGACCAATTTCTCTTTTCTTTTGGCTGCACTTTACCCAAACAACTTCGGTGATGTGCATGAACATTTTCGGTGCTCCTTTTTCAAGACCCACAAGAGATAAGTCTTGACGAATGGGCTTGAAAGCCACGAAGCAACCACTTGCTGCACCGGCGCAGCAACGTTGCGGTCAGCAGCCACCAAGTTTTGTGGGTCTCCTGTAGTTTTCTCAGGAATGCACCCAGTGAAACGACCCAACAATCCGACCATCATCATACCCTCTGGTAAACATACAAAAAGCTATTGAAAATGGTGATTTAGTTCATGGATTTACCCATTGAAAATCGTGATTTCCCATAGTTTTTGGTATGCTTACCAGAGGGTATCATCAAGTTCCAAACAATTCTGAGTGCAAAAAAAGCTGATGTTTGGTAAAAACAGTGAGTCCGTAAATGAGGTGGACATGCGTATATGCTTGGCAGCTGTCGAATCTTATATGGCATTCTGATCGCAAACTACTGTGGATGGAAGAAATCCTGCATCAGTTGCTTAATTATTTACAATGTTTAATAGTTTCCAACTGGTACTGCCAGCTCTGTTCAGAAAAACATGTTCCGCATCCTAACTCCACGAATAGCGTTCTACGCTCCTCACGTCGGCCATGCTTCAAAACCTGTATCCAAAGAAAAAAAATAGCCAAGGGATAGCAGGAAAGCTAAGTTCCAACTGTTGTAGGTATTATTTACAGGCATAAGATTTAGCCATGGCCATTTGATTTTTCCCTCAATGGCCTCAAACATCGGAAAGACAAATTTTCATCCATTTAGGTCTGTGGCCCTCAATCCACTGTGATCTTCCAGCCATGGCCATGTTTACCAGAGGCTTCCATGAAAATCACCGTTCACCATGTTGATTCATCAAATTTTTCACCATGAATCACCACATGATTAACCCCTAATCACTTAATATCAAACATTATTCACCTATGATCAACCACGGAAAATCATGATTAATAATCTGAATTCATCATGATTCACCATGAATTACTGGCCAAAAGTACATTCAACCATGAATCACCTCGACATTGATGTTGATCACCGTGTGCATCCCAAGCCTTCCAGTTGCGTCAGATCCGGTCGTCTCTGAACTTCCGATCTCGGTGTTTAGAGTCCCGGATCATGTCAGGCTCCATGATACTCAACATGATTCTGCTTTAAGATTAACATCTATTAACCATTAATATCCATTAATCATAGAGTATAGTCGTTAATAAATGTTAATAATGGTTAAGTCCCCAGACCTGGAGTCAACTTCCTCAACTTTGCGTCCAGTGGACGATGCATCGTTGTAGAGAGGTAGAAGTTGTACTCCACCGACTTCTCCACGATCTTTTCTTTGCATCCCCCGTCCATTGGAAGATTTGGAAGCACAATACGAAGTATATTTGTCACCATTATTGGCCGTGAAAAACCCTATTCAACCATTAATCACCTATCAACCATTCATCACCATTATTCACCATGAATAACACCCTCTGGTAAGCAGACAAAAAGCTACTGAACATGACCATTTAGTTCGTTGATTTACCCATTAAACATGCTGATTATCGATGGTTTTTTGTATGTTTACCAGAGGGTATATTACTATTAATCACCATTGATCACCATGTATTATCATTGTTAACCACTATTAACATCTATTAACCATTTTTAATATCACCATTATTATCAATATTAACAGCAACTGAATATAACCAATTATGGTTAATAATGGTTTTAATACTTGGTATCACCATTATTAAATAAGGATGGTTAAACACCACTTATCCAATTCTGGTTAATCATGGTTACTTAATATCTGATTATCCAAGTATTGAATATCTATTATTGATCCCATAGAGATTTTATACTTGGACAATATTATTACCACCATTTCGCAAATAATATACTATAGATTAAATCTAGAATCCCATAGGGATTAATATCTTATTTCTCTGATATTACCAATTGATAAGATATTGAATATCACCAATTATGGTTAATAATGGTTACTTAATATCTGATTATCCAAGTATAAAATCTCTATTATTAATCCCATAGAGATTTTATATTTGGACAATATTATTACCACCATTTCGCAAAAAAAATCCCTCGACATCTCCAATCCCGGTGAAGCTTCCATACCACCTCCGTGATCTCCAACGACAAGTCCCGGAAGGGTTCGAAGGAAAAGCTGCTGGTGGCGCATTCCCTGGGACACGGTGCTGCAAAATGGGGAAACCATGGGAAAAACGGTGAAACATGAGGAAAATGATGGAAAATCCATGGGAAAATCCGAGAAATTGGAGGTTTTCCTCATAAACACATGGATTTTCCCATGGATTTTCCATGATTTTCCCACGGATCGTCGGAAAAAAACCATCGGAAAACTCGTTCTGTTTGTCAAACAAAATGATGGCGGGAGATTATTCGAGGATCATCCCAGTGGCATGCAGTGGCTGCCATAGTTTTTAGATGTTAGAACCCTATCTCATGCAAATATGCGGATGTGCCATAGGCAAAACGGCAATGTTCATAGGCAAAAAGGTGGATTCTTCGGAGATGGATGAGATATCATGGAGAAATTATTAGAGATATCACATAGTGGTACCAAACATACAAGTAGTGGGTAAAAGATACAAGGTGGTGCCCCAGGTTGTTAGCTAAGTTAGTTTTTTTAATGGTATAACTGGGGTTTATGGAAGGTATATCCATACTTCATGGTGGTTTTATATACCAACTTACAACTGGAGGGCACCAACTTGGGGGGGTTAGGGTGAGTGATTACGTGACATGGCGATTGAACCAGTCACTTTATGGTTCTGCTGAAAGGCACCATTTTGATGCCGAAATGTCCCCTAGATATTCAGAATGGAGCCTTACAAAACCTTTTGTAGGGGTCACATGATCAAGGCTTTTGTAGACAAAATGGTATCCCCGATACTTTTGGGGGTTCATCTGAGGTCCCAACCTGCGAGTGCAGGTGCATTGCGACACCAACAATCCACCTGGGCCAATCGTATCAAGGGCGACGCAGGCACCGTGGCGATCTGTGGATTTGGTTTGCTGTTGGATTCTTTTTCTGAAACTCTTCGGAGGTTTCCTAAAATGGGGGTACCCCCAAAATCATCAATTATCAATTTTCATGGGATTTCCAGTATGAACCATCCAGCGATAAAGGGGTACGCCCATTTTAGGAAACCTCCATTTTATCAAGACATAATCATGTACCCTCCAATATATCAACATTACTATGGAACCATTTGTAGATGTTTTGCCTATTAAAATAGTATAACATAGTGATTTTACATAGCAATGTTCGTGTACCAAACGGTAATATAGGATCTCTGGCAGGGGAGGATGAGTCCCAAGCTGCAGGATGAAAAATGAGTTCCAGCCATCCAAAAAACATCAAATCTGGTTAGTGGTTTCAACCCCTCTGAAAAATATCAATCAGTTGGGATTATGATTCCCAATATATGGAAGGATAAAACATGTTCCAAACCACCAATCAGAAATGTTTGACAAGCACACTGCAGAAAAACTTGTCTACCCTCTGGTAAACTAACAAAACTATGGAAAATCACCATTTTCAATAGCTATGTTAGTTTACCGGAGGGTACACATTGCACACATTAAATTTCACCTGCATCCGTTCACCATCTCAGCAAAGAGATTCTTGGGGATGTGAACAACTATCCATCTTGGGTGATATTTGGTGTGGATCCATTTCATACTTGGATATATCCCCGTTTGTAAGTGGCTCAATACTACAGCTATGGATAGCTACATATATGTATATATATATATACACACATATATATATATACATATATATATATATATACATATGTATAAATTTCTACCCTCATGTAATCAAACGTGGCAATGGACAAATCCCCATAAAAAGAGGTTTGTAGCTGGAAAACGATCTATTAATGGAACATTTCCCATTGCCATGGTTGGTTGCTGGAGGGTATCCCAGAATATGGCTACTGGCTATGCTCTTACATTTCCCCCTAGCCCGAAAACATGGAATATCCCCAATCCCAGCCAGAATTCAAAAAGATCTATGGGTGATTTTCCTATATGTGGGTCTGTCTTGAAATAGGTCAACATTCCCAGTTTCAATCACACTTGGTTCAATCACCATGTCACATTTGTTAATGACTCACCCTAGCCCCCCCAAGCTGGTGCCCCCCGGCCGCAAGTTGGTATAGAACCCCCCAATAAGCATAGACATACCTTCCATAAACTGTAGTTACAAGTTATAACAGTTCTATACCAACTGACCTCCTCAACTATAGATATATCTACTATAGACCCTAGTGAAATATGAGTTATAAAGTGTCTTAAACCAACTCACTTAACAAGCTGGGGCACAAGTGCCATTTACAGTCCTTTAACACATTCTTTTTGTTTGTACCCCATGTCATCCCCAGTAAATCCCCATCACATTCACACGTGCCAGGGTCAAAACATGGTATATGGTTCATGATCATCCATTTCATATTGGCATATATACCTGTACCTATTGCCAACATGATCATCCATCTCGTATGGCAATACCCAAACACACACACACACATATATATATATACATTGGATCAAAAAAAAAACCTATTACGGGATGATTCCCATCACCCAATCTGCACCGAGATGGAATATCATCCATGCAACTCATATCAACTAATATATATATAATATAATATATATAGGGATATACCATCCAACTAGCTTAACCTGGTAGGCCGGGAATACCCACCTAGGGCACCGCCTTTCAGGCTTCCACACCAAAAATCCGACTGGGCAGCGCTGTGAGATCCGCATTCGGCTCCAAAGCCTGCGCCACCGGGGGGGAATTTCGAAGATTTCACGCAGCGCGACCGGTGATTTCATGGCGATTTAATCAAGAAAAATTGAGGTTTCATGGTGATTTAATGGGATTTAATGGGATGTAACCATCAAAACTGGTGATTTCATGGGGAGTTAAGCATCAACAATGGTGAGTTTCTGAGGAGTTAACCCTGAATCATGGTGATTCTTTTGGGATTTAAGATGATCTAAGCATCAATAATGGTGATTTTGGGGGGTTAAGCATCAAACCTGGTGAGCTAAGCATCAAACCTGGTTCATTTCACGGAATTTCACGACCTAACTATGGGGTTGTAATGGATTTCACCAGCATGAATCATAAAACATGGTGACTTATACGTCACACATAGGAATATAACAGATGACTAGTGGATTTTTTTACATGGGCTTGTCCAAAAATGTGGCAACCCTCAAATGTCACCTGTACAGGGTAACATGATGAACAATAATCAATTTCTTGGGCACCCTATTCTCAACAAGCCCTCACGAGTGTGGTTTATTGATAGAATTGAGAATAATGTGGGCCTATTCGGCCTATTTCTTTTGCAATCAAACATGACGGGACAAAACGTGGTTTTAATCAGGGGGTATATTATATAGATACATATGTGTATGTATATATATATACACATACACATAAGATCTAGTGGTCTAGAACTATTTATAACTTGATTTGGGGGTTCCTCCCACATATTAAAATCGGAACCGCTCCTATTAATCAAAAAAATCGGGTCAATTAATCCTGGATTAATATCATGATGGATCATTAAATTAAAAGCTATCATCCACCTATAATCCACCCATCAGTCATCTTCCCACCTACTTTTATAGATTTTGTCCCATGGTATCCCATTATATGTCCACATGGCTCTCATTATATCCCCATAATACCCCATAATATCCAATGATTTACATATTATTCCAACGATGATTCTCGTTATATCCCCATAATATACACAATATAGTGGTTATTTAATGTTATATATATATACATATACACATTAATTATATGTATACATCCCTATTGAGGAGATTGATTCTTCCCATCCCCATCATATCCCCAGGCTTTGTAACGACATTCCACCAAGTGGGGCTGCAGCCTCGGAGGAGTCCTGCAGCCGCCCGGCGTGCTCTTTCAACTCTTCGTCCTGCCGTTGGAAGGGGAGATGAGGTGCGAACAAGGGGTTCAGTGGGGGGGATGATATGATATGATTAAATCTTACATATTACAGGTAACTATCTATCTATATGATATAAAATTATGAAATCTGAGAGATATTAATTATAAATGAAAACGATATGATGTGATGAAAATGTGTATATGTGTATGTACGATCCATCGACCCATCGATTTATTGATCCATCCATCTATCCATCTATCGATTTGTATCTTTTACATTTATAAATGTATGTACAGTATATATCAGTATATTACGTATATACACAGTGTACATGTACATACATGTACATGAATGGGGACCGAAAATGGTTGATAGAAGCAACCAAAGCGGGGTTCCACCAGCTCTTTTTTGACGCAAAGTAACGATGCCACCGGTGTTTGTGTTTTCTCCGGCCAAAGCAAGGGGACAAGTCCGTTCAGAAAATTGAACATTGGCGAATGTGATAAACCAAGCAAAGTGACATGAATTGGGGAATTACCAAGAAATAATCGGATGCAATGGGGATCTGATACAAGCAAGAAATAGCAAGAATCTGATACAATATTTGGGTGCGTCCAAAAAAACAATAGGACCAATAGGACTACCATCGACCTACGAACAACTGGGCTACTATCATGACACTGCCAAGAAGGGCGGGACATGAGCGATTTTGTGGGGGGTATATACTAACAATTTTGAAACAAATGACACCAGGAACACAACATCCACACATGTACCATTATGGGTGGGATGTACTGATGCAAATCTTCAGAACCACTCGGTGATGTATATCCAACTGAATATGGGTGAACCACTTGTCTCACCCCATCATTTGATTACCCATTCAGTTGGTGATTTCTCAAGTTACTCAAGTAGTTGGGTGAGAAACGTCCGTCGACGGATGATTTCCGATTCCGGTAGGGTTCAACCCATCGGTCCTCGAGCAGTCGAAGCAGGCTATTGAAGAACTCGTGCGCGTCCTGCGGCATCCAAGAAAAAAAGGAGCTCCACTGCTTTTCACCCTGGTGATTCGCAGGTACCCTCTGGTAAACTAACAGTTTGCGAACTGGAAAATGGCCCATAGAAATAGATGGTTTAGCTATCAAACATGGTGATTCTCTATAGCTATGTTAGTCATTACCAGAGGGTAGAACATGGCCATATCAGTTTCCTGCTTTCCTACCCTTGTTTTGGATCATGGAGTGTCGTATTCAAACAGGAAGCCAGTTCACATATTGATGGAATTTCAGATACCCTCCAAACAAGTGAGCCTGCCAGTTGCATCTCATGTCATACTTGGATGTCAAAAAGATAGCCAAAGATTTGGTTGCTTTTATGTTTGAAGCAGTTGGGGGAAAAAACGAGCCAATTCTATGGTATTGATACGGACCTACACTTCACACTTTGAAGGGTTAACTCATCCACCCACAACAAGTCCTGGAACTTTGGCTCTGGCCGCTTCAAAAATTTCGAACTTGGACTCAAGGCTGGTTTGGCGGAATCTGTTCGAAGAGGACTCCAGATCGCGCGCCACGCCCATGTGGAGCTTGATGTCGGTGATGTCATGGTCCGGAAAGTGCACAAGCTGCACCTGCAGGCCCTCCGTGAATGTCAACCAATTTTCCTGGCACTCCTTGAGCTCCTGCTCACTGAGCTCGCTGCAGACCTCCTTCCAAGCAGCGATGCTGTGTTTTCCGTTCGCCACTCGCCACAACCCATCACTTGCATACAATGCATTTCCTGCCCGTGCAAGCTTGGACAATATGACAAAGCCTCTCAATGAAGGTATACGAAGATGGAGGTATAACGAGGACCGGTGAAATATGAACACCATGTATTTCCTGTTTTTCGTGAGAAAACCAGGACCAGTGAAATAAACACCATCTCTGTCCCTTTTGTTTGAATTAACGAGGATCGCCCATATTTCCTCATTTTTCCCCACCTGCCAGGTGAGGGTTGTTAGATTTTATCAGAGCTGTTCTCCTCCTCCTCCTCCTCCGCCTCCGCCTCCTCCGCCTCCACCTCCGCCTCCTCCGCCTCCTCACCCGCCGCCTCCTCCTCGCAGTCCAGATCCCAGTGGGCACAGCCGGACCTCCACCGCGAGCTCCAGATTCTAGTGGGCACAGCCGGACCTCCACCGCGAGCTCCAGATCCCAGTGGGCACTGCCGGACCTCAACCGCGACTTCCAGGTCGCAGTGGGCACTGCCGGACCTCAACCGTGACTTCCAGATCGCAGTGGGCACTGCCGGACCTCAACCGCGACTTCCAGATCGCAGTGGGCACTGCCGGACCTCAACCGCGACTTCCAGATCGCAGTGGGCACTGCCGGACCTCAACGAAAAGAATGTGAGAAAAGATGTCAGATAGAATGTCAGAAGATATGCCAGACAGAATGTCAGAAGATATGCCAGAAAGAATGTCAGAAGATATGTCAGATAGAATGTCAGAAGATATGCCAGAAAGAATGTTCTGAATGCCACAAGATATGCCAGAAAGAATATCAGAATATATGCCAGATAGAATGCCAGAAGATATGCCAGAAGATATGCCAGATAGAGTGCCAGAAGATATGCCAGAACAGATTGCAAAAGATACGCCAGCTAGAATGCCAGAAGATATGCCAGATAGAATGCCACAAGATATGCCAGATAAAATGCCAGAATGTATGTCAGATAGAATGCCAGAAGGTTTGCCAGTAACAAAATGTATAAATGTCATGTTGGGGATAACTCGAAGTAAAGTAATTTTGTAGATAACGAAGATCGGCAATTGGACAGCAATGAGGATGGCGAAATAACGAGGACCGGTGAAATAAACGCCATCTAATTCTGATTCTCTTGAACACCGTCGGGCTCCTTGCTCAGTCACCAGCAATGACACTGGTGCCAAAGTACTCCTTCCCCATTGACACTGTACGATCTCATCTTTCAGCTCCTGCACCCTCGACTTCGAAATTGCCCTCCACCCTGAGTCATCTCCGATGGAGATCTCGTCCAGCGGAACTGGACGAGTCGCAACCACCCTCATGGGTACCGCAAACTTGGCCAGACCGAGCTCAAAACGGCAAAAAATGCCAAAAACGGAAAAAACGATTTTTTGATGTTTTCCAAAAAAATCCATGAAAATGGCTGTGGCGCTATGTGGCGCTATGTGGCGCTATGTGGCGCTATGTGGCGCTATCCAAAACGGCAAAAAATGCCAAAAACGGGAAAAATGACATTTTTTGATGTTTTCCAAGAATTACATGAAAATGTCTGTGGCGCTATGTGGCGCTATGTGGCGCTATGTGGCGCTATGTGGCGCTATGTGGCGCTATGTGGCGCTATTCAAAACGGCAAAAAATGAGAAAAACGGGAAAAATGTCATTTTGTGATGTTTCCCAAGAATTCCATGAAAATGGCTGTGGCGCTATGTGGCGCTCGCTATGTGGCGCTATCCAAAACGGCAAAAAATACCAAAAACGGAAAACGTGACATTTTTGATGTTTTCCAAGAATTCCATGAAAATTGCTGTGGCGCTATGTGCACTTGAGTTAGCAAATGTTAGTAATTAAGTGATTTCAACGCCACATGCACCTGGGAATATTCCATATGTATATATATATATACATATACATATAGATATAACTAGGAGTTATGTAGATATACATACATACATACATGCATGCATGCATGCATGCAGACATACATATATATATATTATAGATATATATAACTGGGTTGCAATATGGTTATTGTCCACTTACGAAGTGGGATGATTCCCAAAAACCATGGGTTTCAATACTAGGCCATGGTCATGACTTGAATGATTTGGGGTACCCCCCCATGACTTTTGAAACCTCCATATCTATCCCCATTCAGATAGTTTCACTGATCCGTTTTGCCCTGGCTTCAAGGCTCGACCGGTCACAGCTCCTCTTGAGCACCGAAGGTAAACTCTTCGCTTAGACGGGGCAGCCATCGCAAGACCTGCGGGCGCACGGGAGTCCCAAGGCGCCCCGAAAGATTGAAGAAGGTGCAAGCTGGTGCCCCATAGTTAGCTAAGTTGGTGCAAATAACTCCCATTTCACTCTGGTTTATGGCAGATATAACGAACTAGTTAATGGGGTTTAAACACCAACTTATAACTGGGGGGCACCATCCTGTGAGTTGCCTTTTTCCTCCACCAGGGAGTCCTTTGCGACGGATTCCATCGAGCTTGTCCAGCAAGGTGCCTCCTGCAGTGTCCCAAAGCGGCGACGACGTCTGGGGTGATCCGATTCCAAAGGCCATCTGCTCACCGACACGATGTCATCCGCGTTGAGTCAGCGCTGACATCGAAACCAGGGATGAATCCCATTACTATAGGAATCATAGCATTAAAGTGGGAATAAAACCATGGGTAATAGGAAATAATATGGGAACCATGACTTATGGAATCATTATTTCCCAATGATAGGATGATATAGGAATAATAATACCTTTACTGTCATGGGGAAATGGGAACAATGGGATTTTTTGATAATGATGATTGTTATTGGATTTAATTGGAATATATAATGGAGATATACAATGCGAATATAATCCCATCCCTCATTCATATTCAAAACCCCCTAATATCATGGTCCCAATTCTGTGGAAATTCCCTACTAAACCATGGTTTCGTTTGGGGTGTTTAATATTTGGGGCAAGGGATTAGTCAGTGACATCTCCCCTTGCAAGTCTGGAGCGAAATCGAAAATTATACTGCGGTGTACAGCTTTATTCAAACAAACACGCACGCAAAAGCACACAATCATTGTCAGCTGCAACAAACAATGGTAAGATATGGTAGGAATGGGGACAAACAAGATCAAACAAGTGGGAAAATGAAATGCAATCTGATTCAATGGTGATATCTGCCAGAAGGAATATGCTCAACACAATACTTGCTGGATATCGCGGGTGGCCGGGTTTCACCAATGGTAAGCAGGGGTGGGTATATTGATTGAACATAACAGCGTGAATCTTATGGCATATCGCTTCCACGATGCTTTCAACCTGACAATACACAAATTTACTTACCATCCCCAACTTATATGGAGGTTTCCATACATGGGACCCCAAATAGATGGTTTATAATGGACAATCATTTAATAGGATATTAAATATTAAGTATGGATAAAATCATCCATGAATATTACTATGGATGTTTTTTTAATAGGATATCTAATGGATAAATTGTTATTACGTATCAAAATGGATGATTTAGAGCTACCCCTATGAGAATCAGTATCTTGTTGAGCGAAGGAGTCTTCCAACCTTGAAGTGATGGCAGGATCTATGTCAGTTGGCGGGGATGGAAATTTGAAACCGCCCACCAGCCAAAATTAAGCTGCCCCGCAGACTGTCAGGCTACTTCCGATGGTGCGGCAAGTCCCAAGTTGGGAACCCAAAGCCGATTTTGGAAGTCGATCCACAGATTTTTGGACATCCAATGCTTGAAGAATCTTAAAGCACAAATTGGAATTTTCATAGTTGAAACATATGGCTTGCCATTGGACTTTGTTTAGTTCACATGTCTTCAAGCTGAAATATCCGCCGAAATGACATATGGTCTCACCATAGGGAAGCTGCCTCTCTTTTTTGCGCGCGTGATGCCTAACTGGAATGCACCTTTTGAAACGCTTTTCCACCTTGGTAATAATCGTTGGCCCTGACATACCGCCCGGAAATCAAACATTGCTGGCTGGACAATTCCCTAGAAATGGAGGTGTATGGCTGGAGTGTAATTCCACTAATCACAACATTATTCATCATTAAACACCATGATTAACCATGAATAATTAATAACCATGGCAATTCGTACGTGAAGTCCAGTGCAAGCTGTCTCCTTTGCTCTGCAAAAACTATCCAACTGTTCAAAGAGAGCACCCTGAAACTATCCAAGCATACTCGCTAACCTTAACATATTGTAGACATGCAGTATGGATATATGTATGTATTTGTATTTACATATATATATATATACACATACAGTATCATTTATATATATATATAAATATTATAATCATCCTGAAGTACATAGAATCTGGAATGTTCAGCAATATGTCCATTTTCGTTATTTTGTTTAAAGGACATCATCCATATTCTATCTACTCCAGGAACACTATCATATATATATGTATATACACATGCCCTCTGGTAATTTAACATATGGAGAATGGACCATTTATAGATGATTTACCTACTATGTTCATGGTGATTTTCCATAGCAGACTGTTAGTTCACCAGATGGTAACTATTAATATCCCATTATAATCCCATTATCACCCCATTCATATCCATGATTATTTCATTATTAGCCACTATATCGCTATATCTTAATCCATTGGTATACACACAACATAACTATCTACTGTTGTGTCACACCACACCCTTCGTGACATCACGGCTCGCCTCGTAGGGCGGCAAAGGCACCTGACGCCACAACGAGCTGTTTGTTTGTAGTTCTGGGCTTCAGTCGATTGCCTTGAAACAGAGATGTCTTTGAGATTTTTTGATATTTGGAGGTGATTTCTTTTACCCTCTAGAAAACATACAAAAAACTATAGAAAGATCCACCATGTTTAATGGGTAAATCAACGAACTACATGGCCATTTTCCAGTTCGCAAACTCTTTGTTTACCAGAGGGTAAAGAATTTGGGGGATGAAGATATCAATGCCAACAGATCCATTTAAGAACAACAACCAAGGTTGACATGCGAATCCCTTCTGTTTCAACAGCAAACCTGGCGACTTGCCTCCGTGCGGTTGTAGAGGAAACGCATGTTTTGCGTCTTGATGGACTCGGTTCGGCCGTCGATTTTCCCAACTCGTTTGGCATGGCCGTTGTGTTGGCTTTCTATGCTCTTTGTTTCCATAAGCCTCCCCAAGAAAAGCCATGACTTCGTACTCCCACTTCTCCTTGGCAATTCCAACAGACTTCTGCTTTGAACATGTACCATCTGGTTATTTAACATAGCCATGGAAAATGGCCCATAGAAAAAAGATGGTTTACCTATTAATAGCATGGTGATTTTCCATGGCAAACTGTTAAATAACCAGATGGTATTGACACACAGCTTCTTGCTACATCCATCCAAATCCAAACCTTTCTGTAGGCTAGTGAGGAGTCCATTCAACACCAGCGAGCAGCGTACCCCCAAAAAGCCTCCTGAGATTGAGGTATCATCAATGATCATTAAACTCCTCAGTGCCAAACAACAACATCCTTAAATCTATCCCTAATCACTACATATATACACACACATATATATATATAAATACACATCACCATCCGGTTGGTGGTTGACCTACCCCTCTGAAAAATATGGAAGTCAGCTGGGATTAGTATTCCCAATATATGGATTATTATTATGATTCCCAAACCACCAACCAGCCATGTATGCTGTTAAAAACTGTAAACATACCCTCTGGTAATTTAACCTAGCTATTGAAAATGGCCCAGTCGAAATAGTTGATTTATCCATTAAAAGGGTGGATCTTTCCATAATTTTTTGTGTGTTTACCAGACCGGGTATTTTCCCTACATACGTTGCTGCTGCCCAGTGACCAACGGCGAAGCTTTGCCCGGAAGCAGTACACCCAAGCGAGCCTGAGAGCCCGGGATGACCCGAAGCCATCCGGCCGATTTCACGGAAATCCCAAACTGAACATAGATTATTCCCTTCCCCCAATATATCCCAATATTGGGTATATATATATATGTATATATATATATATATATCATTCAAGTCAATTCTATCAATTGCTGATTATATATATATATACACATAATCATACCATGAATAACCCCTGAAATCACCATTTTTTCTGGTTGTTTTACAGGTTGAAACGAGCAAAATCCAATTTTTTTGCACCGTCGGAAAGCGCACGAGCCTCTTGCCCCTCGCTGGTGGGAAGGATCTCTGTCACCATGCCGGTCTGGGGCGGATCCATGGGTAAAACAATGCCATAAGCAATCCCCCAAATCACCATTTTCCCAAGCGGGTTGTTTATCATTGTTTTACCAACATTATATATATACACATATTCGTATTGATTTATACAGCCCATCATGATAATTTATACTGTACGAATATATGATATTATACGTATGTATATATATATATGGGTGTTTCTATGTAAAACATGTTACATGTAGTACATACTGCCTATAGTGGATGGTGGTTTCAATCCAAAAGATATGCTCTTCATTGGGGATCATTACCCCATTTCTATGGTTGAAACCCTGTATTTTATATAAATATACAAATTGTGATATTGTATATTATGTCGATGTAGATGTATGTATATTATTGTCTGTATGTACAAGGGTGTTTGGGATTGTGTTGCTTTGAAGCCTACGAACTTCAGGCATTCAAACATTAAAAGCAAACATCTAACTTAAGAAGGAGATCATTGTCCCTTATTGGATGGACAGAAAAGATCTTTGGGTGAAAACACTCCAAGAGTGGGGCTGGTAAAGGTCCTATTTTGTCACATTACCCAAATAAATATTGGGGATATTCATTTCCAACAGATACTTGTTTTGGTGATGTGAAAGAAATCCCCAAGCCATGGAACATTTACCAAACCCTCTATTTAGGACGCGCAGCTGCACAAAATTGGCATCTTTTGCTGGTTACCTGGTTGGCTGGTTGTTTTGCGTTTATAGCAAAAAACGAAAGGATTAGTTTTTACATATCCAGTTGGACTCTCACAAGACTTTCAGACGAAAACTGCTGAAGAATCGACTCTCCCCATGAACTGGCTTGCTCCCAACACCGTTACGTCGTGGCTAAATTGGCTTTATATATATATATATAGACGGATAATATATATATATATATTGCTATACATATATTATATGCCTACTAAAAACATATATATATATATATATATTATGGCTATCTTATGGTGATATTTAAAAACTAAAATCTTCAAAAAAACAATCCAATTTTGTGCACCTTGCCATTCAGCTGCTCAGCTTTCAGGCTGTGAAGCTCCTGGGGCTGGTCGTTTTTTAGATAGGACCCTGTTAACCAAAGATGGAATATATATACCCTCTGGTAAGCATACAAAAAACTATGGAATCACCATTTTTAAGGGGTAATTCAACTATTTGTATGGTCATTTTCAATAGCAAGCTGTTAGTTTACCAAAGGGTGTATATATATAAATATGTATACATATATGCATATATGGGTAAACTATAATGATTCACTAACCTGAATATATAAAAAAATATTTGGGTAAATTATCTATGGTAAATATCCTCTAATAGAGGTACTATATTTATATTAGAGGTAATGTACTATCTGGATAGATATTTACATATAAATATGTATATGTCTGGGTAATTTATATTATTTCACTAACCTAAATTAAGGCCATTTGGGGATGATTCCCCTTATCCATTATTCCAGTGAGGTTGCAGGAGGTTGTTATAATTTGCCCATATATATAGGTATATATATATGTATATATGTATATATATGTGTATATGTATATATGTATATATATATATGCATATATATATGTATATGCATATATGTATATATATCTATAATGTATGTATATATATATGTAAATGTATATATATATAATGTATATATATATATATGTATATATATATATGTAAATATATATATATTTTTTATGTATGCATATATTATATATATATGTATATATACTATATATGTATATGTATACTGTATATATTTATTTAAAGAAAAACTGGGATGTACAGTTTGTATATAGCTAACTTAAGATGTACCATGGTCAAAGTTACATGGAATTCATGGGGAATGATTGAATTCAACCCAAGACCCTGGCACACATATGTTGACCCCAAGATTGAAAGCTCCACCTTCAGGTTTTGGATTATGCACAGATTATGTATTCAAAATGGATCGTTTATAATGGAAATTCCCATGAAAATGGATGATTTAGGGGCACTCCTTTTTTAGGAAACATCCGAATCCTGCTTCTGCTTCTGATGTTCTTTCCGTTGAGTTTCTGGATGGTGTAATTAACAAGCAAAGTCTTGCTAAATCTGTGCTTCTTGGCATCCACAATCTGCCAGGTTCGCTGTTTGTACCGAGGGGTTTTCTTCTGCATATGTATCATCGTCATTCATTGTCTAACATATGGGTGTGTCTGAAAATGGTGAAAAAACGAAGAAACTTACGATCCATGATAAACCATTGGGTTTTGGTGTACCGTATTTTGCCACAAACCCATATCTGCGTGTCTTTAACGCATCATGGATGTGAATCCACTACACCTATAGCCATCACCCAGGGATTGTACAGCTTGCAACAATGGTTCGCGGTTCGGCCCAGGCCCCATGCTGTCGAGCGACAACCACATCCTCCAACTTCCAGTCCGTTTCAATTTCGCGTGCCTCCCAAACTCACAGCCACCATCCCCAGCAACTTATAAGAGATCTGGGGTGGAAAAATAGGAGGATTCGGTGTTTGGCTCCACTTCAAAACACATCTGGTGATCATTAGATCATTCAAAATGAAGAATGAACGATTTTGACAAGCAACTTGCGGGCCCGTGTTGCAGCTTGATTCAGACATATGCCACATATATATATAATTTACAGATGTACATACATATATATATATATGTCTATATATACATATATGCATATAGAACTATATTTATATATGGTTGGTGGTTTTAACCATCTTGAAAAATATGAAAGTCAATGGGAAGGATTACAGTATCCCATATAATACCAAAAAATGAAAATCATTTTCCAAACCACCAACCAGATATATTACCTACATATCACTTGGGAAATTCCCACGATCCCAAGACCCACAAGACCCACTGGCCACCTGCACCGTGCACCAAGTGTTGGTGGAGATATTTATTATTGATATTTATATTTATTATGGTTAAATATATTTACACTATAGATTCATTAAATATGATGTATCTATCAATATAGGTATCAATATATCACATATACACTATATCTATACTGGTTGGTGGTTTTAACCATCTTGAAAAATATGAGTATAGTAATTCACTAGCCAGTCCTATAAGGTTTCTTTTTGGGATAATTGTCCTATACAGTATATCTATATTTATTATGGTTAAATATACTGTGGTTACACTATAGGTATATACATTAAATATGATATATCTATCAATATAGGTATCAATATATCACATATATATACACTATATCTATATTTACATATACTTTCTAAATATACTTCCATCCACCCTCAAGGCACCGCGTCGTTGGCCAGGTGGGACTCGCTCAACGCCGCCAGGTTGCAGCGAAAACAGGGCGGCGCCGGCGCCTCGACGACCACGACGTGGGAAAAACGCGCCACGGGCGCGTCACGTATCGTAGGTGGTTCGTAACATACAACAAACTATGGAAAATCACAATGTTTCACCAATCACCAACCACCAATCACCATTTTTATTTTGGACGAAAATCCAGTGATTGATATATATATATAATATAACTATGGAACATCACAATTTTTTATGGGTAAATCAACTATATATCAACTATAAATGGCAATTTTCAACTGTATAGTAAGTGGTTAGTAACCATAGTCATAGCTGCTGTGGCTATGACCATAGGATAATCATCATAGGAAAAGTCATAGGATAATACGCAGTTTTAGTCCGACATAGATAATAACCAGAGGATGGTAAACTAAACCACCATTTATGTGTGGACTATTACTACACTCCAATCACCAATTGATGGGACGAGAAAATCCAGTGATTGATATATATATATATAACATAACTATGGAAAATTACATTTTTTAACGGGTAAATCAACTATATATCAACTATATATCAACTATAAATGGCAATTTTCAATTGTATAGTAAGTGGATAGTAACCATAGTCATAACCCACTGTGACTAGATGATTAGTAAGTAGCTATACTAAGTGGTTAGTCAGTAACTAGATGGTTTGTAAGTAACTCACATAACTATTGAACATCACCATTTTTTATGGGTAAATCAATAAACTAAATGGTCATTTTCAATAGCAAACTCTTAGTTTACCAGAGGGTACTATTAAAAACCCATGATAACCTCATTATCACCCCATTCATATCCATTATTCTTCCACTATTATCCACTATATCTATATTATACTACCCATAGTTTTACCAACGCTATGAATATTAGGATCAATTCCCCATTGGACCCGGCGGAAAGCCATGCCCCATGGATGGGATAAGCTACTACGAATCGCAGACTTCCTAAGGGTGTAGCTTGGTAGCTTGGTGTTTTTATAGCCATTGAATGAGCCATTTTTTGAACATTGCTATTGACTCAGTTGACTCACACAGTTTTTTGAAGTGCGAATTATATGATCTATTTGAATGTTCCAAATGGAAAGGTTGTCTTCTTTGTATACATAAAATATGATAAAGAATTGCAGTTCATGAAGTGGTTTGGAATGCTTAAAACCATAGGAACTAATTGCTAAAAAATGCTGCTACAATTTACCATTCAAGAACTGGGATAGCTATGGTTCACATCTGTTTTGAAATGGGATGGATGATCTTTTTCTCGAAGTAGTGATGTTTTTTGCAATTCTTGAAGTGGGATTTGTATGATTCATATGATCAACGATTTAAGAAGTGGAATGTCTATCTATAAATCACTATGGGTGGGATCTATATCTATCTATAACAGTGACGTAACTCTATCCGTTGTTTTAAAACATGCGGATCATGGGACCCCGTTGAGGCCGGGACAGGATCAGCACTTTGCCTGCCGAGATCAGGGCACCACCTTTGATGGGTCACACTCCGATTTAAAAAATGACAATCGCCCATACAAAATACTACCCATAAGTAGTGTTCATTACAAATTACTATATTACCAAAAAATCACTAGAAATTATATGATATTATATATAACCCGTAGTTTTCATTACTATATTTATACTACCCATAGTTTTATATCAGCCATACCGGTACTATCAATATCCCATTGTAATCCCATTATCACCCCATTCATATGCATGATGATTCCATTATTATCTACTATATCTTAATCCATTAGGCAGATAACAATATAGTTGCCATTTGATATTGCCATTAGTACCATATGATATTACCAAATAATAATATAGTTGTCCATGAGAATTATTATTACTGGGAATTATAATCCATTTAGAACATCAAACGTTTTCATTACTATATTATTATTACCATATATTACCCCTAGTTTTATATTAGTAATACCCATATATTACTATATCTTAATTACCCATAGTTCTATATCACCCATTATAATGAATTACCCATAGTTCTATATCCCCCATTTATTACCCATTTTGATCCATATATATATATATTTATTTTTTGTTGGTGAATCATCATGGTTCCCGATGTTCATTGGCAGATCACTTCCCCACTAAAGAGTTCACCATGCTTTACCCGTAGTTTTATATCACCCATTATACAGATCCATAACTTATATATATATATCTATATATAATGTGTGTATATAATCCCATTATCACCCCATTCATATGCATGATTATTCCATATATATATATATATAGTATATATCAAACATATCCATAATATATGACTATCACTACCCGGGCCCGGCTGTCATGCCGCCATGCCCCACCTCTCGCAGCTGTGTTGCTTCAGGGCGCCATGCCTGGAGCGATCGTTCCGACTCACCGTTTTGAAAATGGCAAAGGTCCAGGGAAAATGATGGAACAAATGTAGGATTTTATAGGGAAAATGATGGAAACATGTGGATTTAATGGGGAAAATGATGGGAACATGTTTATCCCTTCCTGGTTGGTAGACTTAGTACACTTACAATCCCAGACATTGCTGGATTTCCATCTGGTAAACTAAGAGTTTGGTATGATAATCAGTGGTGTGTTAAAAAAACAATCTTGAAAAATATGAGTTCGTCAATGGGAAGGATGACATCCCATATGTGAAATGGAAAATAAAAGTCATGTTTGAAACCACCAACCAGTTTCTAATGCGCTTATAAAAAGTCTACAAAAGCTCCAAGCTTTCGCAAGATGGTGATCCTTTCCATCACGGTTAAGTCATCTTAGAGATTTCTTCTGAGGTAATCGTTATAGATAAGTACCAATTGGTCTTGGACTTGTCTCATGAATAGAAGCTAAGCGTTCGATCTCACGTAGTTATAACATGATTAATATTATCTATTTGCCTTTAGATTCCTAATCTAGTTGTTGCAAGTCTCATATCTAAAGGATCAGCCATTATTCTTGATAGCGTCAAACGCGTATCACGCTCGACTGTCAGCGTCAGGGACCATGGTGACCATATCCTCATCAAGATTGTCCAGCGCTTGACAAATTGCAGCATATGTCTCAGTTCCATACTACAAACAGTTGATTTACCAATTAAAAATGGTGATTTTTTATAGTTCTGTTAGTTTACCAGAGGGTAATATTAATGGTAATATTAATGTAGTAGTAATGAAATGTGCATCATCGCTTCTACAAACAGTTGATGCTCGTACACATGATCTGGCTGGAATTGAGAGCTGGTCGGAGTCTTCATCGTCTTGAATCTCTCAAACTCCTTCTTCTTTTCGGCAGACGTTTCAGATGGGCAATAGAAAACCACTCCATCCTTGATGTAGCGCTCATTGCCGTCATGGCTCTTTGCTCCTTGAGGTAAATACGGTCCGGCCAAGTAGTTGTAGTCGGAGAAATGAAGACCCCAAGGATGTTTGAAATCCATGTAGGTTGCGAAACCACGATTTGTAACATTGATGGAACAAACGTAGGATTTCAGAGGGAAAATGATGGGACATCAAGATACACAAAATAGCTAAGTTGAGATATTTTTGTGGCTTCAATTATGATTTATGGATATTTATGGTAGATCTAACATGATATAACGACCTCGTTAATAGGGGTTATAAACCAACAAACATCACTGGGGGGCACCATCCTGTAGGGAAAATGATGGTTGATCCCGAAATTCCCATGGATATTTCACCAGCAAAAGTTGTGGTATCATATCGTGGGATATGATGAGGATATAATGAAGATAACATGGGATTATAATGGAGATATCCTCCAGTGTCATCAAGCATTACTGGCTTGGGTATCCCCAAACTAAAGGGACATTTGAATGGGACACTTCATCTGTAAATGATTATGTTCCATTGCCATGTTCAATTCCCAGACGGCATTCCGAATATTGGGATATCCCAAACCCATCGGAAAATCACCAACTTAGACGAAATGTGTCCTGGAAACAAACGAAATCAGACAAAAGGTAAATGAGACGCAGTACCCTCTGGTAATGACTAACATAGCTATTGAAAATTGCCATTTATAATTGATTTACCCATTAAAAATGGTGATTTTCCATAGTTATGTTAGTTTACCAGAGGGTACATTGAAATGACAAGCAGGATCATGCAACCAATCATAGGAGTATTCAACCAACCATAGCCGGGTACAGCAGATCATGTGTGATGTAGCCACTGATTCGTGTTTTTTCCAACACGTGGGGCCCTAGAATGTGAGCATGAAAAAACTAGTTTGTCTGAAAATAGGGTACCACATGGTACCACTAAATACATTGGTTCCCCTCTGGTACGACTAACAGTTTGCTATTGAAAATCCCCTATTTTTTGGGGTGTCAATCAACCATAAATCACCATTTTCAAAAGCAAACTCTTAGTTTACCAGAAAGTACTACTTTCTACCCATTAATCCCATTATCACTCCATTCATATCCATGACTATTCAATTTTTATCCACTATATCTTAATCCATTAGGCAGATAATGATATAGATGCCATTTGATATTGCCATGAAATTACCATATGATATTACCATATAAATCCATATAGTTATCCATGAGAATTATGATAATTGGGAGCGATTATCCATTTAGAACATCAAACGTTTTCATTACTATATTAATATTACAATTAATATTACCCCCTGGTAAACTAACATAACTATGGAAAATCACCATTTTTAATGGGTAAATCAACTATAAATAACCATTTTCAATAGCTATGTTTGTTTACCAGAGGGTACCCATAGTTTTAAATTAGTAATACAAAAATATTACTATATCTTAATCCATTGGTTAATCATCATGGTTCCCAAATATCATTGGCAGATCACTTCCCCACTAAAGAGTTCACCCATTTTTAACAGCCGGGCACCGTTAGATGTTGGAATGCCAGCCATCCGAAACGTTTTTTCACAACTAGAGATTGTTCATATCCATGATTATTCCATGACTATTACATTAGAAACCATCCAAAACGTTCAAACAATGGAGATGGTGAAACACTATTCTCCCAAAACCATTCCACATTATCCATCACTATCGCACAACTACAGCAGATACAAACAATTATCTCATGATCATAACAGAATACTTGATAAATCACAAAGAAATCACTCAGCCTCGGCCATTTTGGGAGTACAGGACACACTTCCCATGATTGCTACTCCGAGGCGCAACAGCGGCACGCTGTGGTAGAGGCTCTGAAGCAAAGCATTCATGTAGCCTGGCGGTAGGATCTTATTCATTACAAATCAATAAGTATACATATATATACACATACATACATTATATATATATAATCATATATATAATCATATATATATAATTATATATATATAATCATATATATACATATACATATACTCTATATTTACACATGTATAATTATATATATATGTCTCAGATCACATATCATGTATGATTATCATTTATATAATACAGATGATTTTGGGCTAGCTTTCACTTGTGCCGCATTTTTTCTCAGCCCAAAAAACGCCTGCAACTTTGACGTGTCAAAAGTCAAAACGACTGGACAGGGCAGGCCATGGATCAGAAAGACTTGGGTTTGTCTGAAAATATCGTACACAAAAATCCAATGGTTGATAATCATATTCCCCATTAAAGTAGCCATTTTCAGACCCACTTCAGTCCCAAGGTACGCCCCATCGACGAAAACATGCCCAGGATGACAGCAGTTGGCGACCTGAAGTGGAGGCCGAAAATTGGGGTTTTCCGACAAGTGGGGACCCCAAAAACAACGAAACATGAATAAGTTGATGGCTGGTGGTATTTACCAACAAGAAAAGAGGTTTCACCAACAATCATAGGTTATAATGGGATATTATTGGAATAATAATGGATTGTGATGGATATTAATGTGGGTAAAACACTGTCATAAACCACCCATGACTGGGAATGGTAAACATACCACCTATAAACATGGTTTTCTGACTGGGGGATGGTAAACATGGCATTGTTTTACCCACTTGATATTTATCGAATATATCTATAATCTTTATCTAATAGATCTACATGACATTTACATATCATTTACCCACTTGAGTCCAAATCTACTGATTTCAGGGAGGCCTTTTTTCAGACACGTGATGAGGCCACCATGGCACCATGGTCTACAGCAGTGGAGAGAAACCAATGAACCACGTAGTATAACCAACGAATATGGCGATATGGTTATTTAATTATTCGGTATATTTATAATATATATATATATGGTAGTATATTCGTAAAATTACAACAATTATATAGTTATATATCACAATAATGAACCTATATTGGTATATTTTAAGGGTGGTATAACCCGCAACTCATCAGCCAAGCATCATTGATCAGACTTGTATCCATATATCCTCATATCTTGATGGTTAGAATCCATATCAGATATGACTAAGACTATTAAAATCATCAAGCAACAGAGGTTTTGAACACCCATGGAGACCATCGATGGCCATATATGGCGATTTCAGTTTGATTTCTATAGGCCGCCACCAGTTGTGTAAGTTGGTTTATAACCCCGTCGAAATAGAATTATCAGGATGGGGTTATATATCATCTATTATCCACTATGGATGATGGGGTTATATATAATAACAATATATAGTTGGTTTATAAGGATATTTAAAAGTATCATCCACTGTTGTTATTGTTATTATTTCTTGTTGTAGTTATCATACACTATAATTAATAATTATAACCCCCCAAAAAATATCCAACTTAGCTAACGAACTGGGGCCCCATCTGCTCAGAATCCCCATCTTTGGTCCCAAAGCTGGGCCCCAGACATTGCGCAAGCCCCGTGGCCAGCCGTTTTTGGGGCCAAAGTCCGAGCTGTCCAAGATCCTTGGTGGTGAAGAGAGCGATCTATTGACAAATGGACTGGTAAACTAACATCGCTATTGAAAATGGCCATTTATAGTGGATTTTCCTATTAAGAAATGCTAATTTTCCATATTAAGTTGATTCACAATCTCAATTATTCTAGCAATACACAATCAATCTAAGTGTTAATCTACTCGGTATCTAAATGCATTTAATATCCAATCAGCGCTTCATGGTGTTGATGGATAGAGTACTTAAGGTTTTTAACATCCAAGTTTCATCCACATCAGGGTCAGATAGGCGGGGTCAGACAGGCGTTTTTTTCCAAAACTGGAGAGTTTGATGGTCGGCATTTCAAGGGCTCCAAGCAACAAGAACATGGGAATAATGGCCATCAACCAAATCTGGTTGGTGTTTTTAACAATCTTGAAAAAATAGTCAATGGGAAGGAGTATCCCATATATTATGGAAAATAAAAAATGTTCCAAACCACCAACCAGTTATTAACGTGCAAATTACTTTATTTCTTACCTCGTCTACCTCGTGTCTGATCATCGTTACGCGCATTTAGCACCTCGCCTCGTTACATGTGGTTTAGAAAATAGCACCTTGCCTCGTTAAATCTGGTTTCGAAAATAACCCCTCGCCTCGTTTATTTCAGGCTGTAGGTATGTGTATATATATATATATACATATATATATGTATATCTATAGGATGGAGAAGAACTCGCAGCGGCATGGCCCTGGAACTTTGAGCGTGCGAGTCTTTGAGCCCCAGTACTGAAGTGAGGGTGTCTGGAAAAAAACTTTTCCAGCACTGAAAAGTTTTGTCTGCTACAAACCCTGGCGCGCTGTCTTGGAGGCACCGGATGGACATGAAACAAACTTTTGGCAGCCTGAATTTTTTTTTGGTGGATTTGAAATCTACTTGCTTCCACTCCACAGCCGCCTCGTTCTATACAAATTTAACTCAACCACCTGCTTGAATCATCAAAATAAACTTTCCAGCTCTGCAAAAGTTTTATTCCATGGGTCCGTGCCATCTACATGTCCGAAAACTGCCCATACTCCTTAATTCTCAATAAGCAACCTCGTTACTGACCTCGTTAATTCTCTCTAACTAACCTCGTCACCTCGGCTGGGGTCGCAGTAATTTGGGCACAGTTATTGGCATTTTTTTCTATGGAAACCACCATTCTTGTCATCCACGCCAGGTTTTGGAGTACACCAATTCCCAGAAACACCTGGAAACCAGTTCTAAGTGTAGCTGTTGATGGACAGCATGAATTGCATGTTTGCCAGATTTCTCCAAAACAAACAAACCTACCATGAATCATCATTCATCATTCATCATTTTTCAAGGTTCTTTGAAGTCGCAATATGTTGCGATATGGGAGATAAATCGACCAGCACAAACACTCGTGCCCGACATGGCTAGTGGTCAGCAACACTGACCACCTTTTTCTGGATCATCCCCCGACACATAAAGTGCTACGATGGTTGTACCATATAATACTATATGTGGATTTAAGTCTTAGTATGATATGGTATTTTAAACACTTGGGATATTATCGGATATAATAGTTATACTAAACGACCTTTTATACTATTGTTATACTATTTGTGTATTCTATCCCAATCCTTTTAGTTGTGATCTTCCCCTGTTTGTTTCGAAAATTCCAACGACATCAATCCCTGAGATGATCATCACCTTGCCCTCCCACGGACGCACAGTTTCCCTATAGTTTCTGGTAGCTGGTGATTGTTGTGACTCCATCTAGATATAAACTATAGTATAGATTAGTATACTATAGCTATGATGGTCACTATTGTTACACATGATTGATTTTTTGTTGGCTGTTAAATACTAGTCGCTATCATTGACTATTGTTCCTCTAAAAAGGTTGGGTCTTCATGGGACCATCATTCCAATGATTACCATCAAAATCACCATAAATCACCCACATCCCGTCAGGTCTTCATGGTTTTTCCCCATTTCAGGATGGTAAAATCCATAAGAAACCAATGAACATATGTACTAACATATGTATAAGTCATGGTTAAGATTACTTAGATGGTTTAACCAGCAATTAATGTAAGATAAGGTCATTCTACCACTTATCATGGTTAAGATCCTTATTTCTTGTTCTTTAAAACGCAGTCTAAAACCCACTCGAGTCATTTCGTGGACGGCCCGGCGCCATCCAGAGCGCCATCTCGGCCCCTGGCTTCCGCCAACTGGCATCGCTATGCACCGGCCTGGTGAGTTTCTCACCAGTTGAAGCATCAACAAATGGCGGGTGAAATATGTGGAGAAAAAAACGTGGCTTGACGTGAAAACTGGCACTTGTGCTAAACGTAGGGAATTTTTTCGGGAATGATCCGCTGGCTAACTATCAATAATCCCAGCAACCCCCAGCAACCCATCCATTCCCTACTAAGCACCAGTATGTTAATCCGGTTTTTGAAAAACCGAGCTATATTTAAACATATGGCAGATGATGAATAGATCATAATAGATCCCATATTGAACCAGCGCGGGTGTAGCGCAGGTGGGATTCAATGTTCTGTTCCCACAGGATTTCAAGTTGTCTGAGCATGTGATGATAGCTGATATATGCTGATATCAATGGATTTATTTTGAGGGAAAATTGAAACCGGAAAGCCCCATAAGTAATGGGAAAATTTTCTGGTTTCCGGTTAAGATTTTCCCTTAAACCAATCCATTGATGATAGAGCTTGGACATGCAATCGGAGACATAGATGGACCGATAGCGGGATTGGCAGCTGAGTTTGGAGCTGCCAGTAGAAAACAGCTTGGCTGCAAATCCAGCGGTGTTTCCGAGTAGTTTCCATATGGATATCATATGTCCTATGTTTTGTGACCTATCTTTTGCCAACATTTTCCTCAGTACAGGATGGTGCCCCCCAGTTATAAGTTGGTTTATAATCATTATGATCCCCATTAACTAAAGTTATATCTACCATAAACCATTGTCAAGCCACTTATAGACCAACTTAACTATCTTGGGGACCCCATCCTGTAGTTTCCATATTTTTCCACATAGTTCGCAAAAATCCCCACAGACTTGGATGTGCTTAAGGGACTCCAACAACAACAACAACACAGGGCCACCCTTTTTGGTTTCCCGAGTCATGGTGGATTTCCTGGGAAAACTCATCCAAGAGGAGCTCTATCCAAAAAAAGTGAATGACCTCCGGCGATAAAAAACCACAATGAAGAGCTTCATTTATGTTTGGGGATGTTCCATCATTTTTCCATTGAAGTATGGATTTGCATGGATGCCATCTTTTTCCATCATAAAAATAGAGGATGCTCATGGATTTTCCATCATTTTCCCATGAACAACGCAGGCAGAACTGTCCTTTCTCCACAGTCCAGCCGCCTTTCGACCGACTCGGCCAGCAGCCGTAGGGGTGGTCGCGGTACAGGGGTTGACATATCAAGGTCCTGGAGGTTTCAGGTGCTTCAAACAAAGGGGTGTAATAGTTAGATTTTCCAAGAAACATGTGAAACACCAAGAAATCTATTATTATTATTGATAATTATTGGTAATAACCATTGGTAATAATTGATAATTGTTGATAATTATTGCTAATTGGAAAAAAATATATATATAATGTGGTATACCAAGAAACATCATGACATATACCACATGTTTCTTGGTAAATCCAATTAATTATTGGTATAATTGTAATATTGTAATATATAATTATACCACGTTACCACGTGTAATAATTGGATTTGCCAAGAAACATGTGGTATAATAGAAATATATATAATGGAAAACGGGAATATCATGGGAATATTTTTCTTGGGAAGAATCTGGAATCAAAACTAATCAATATTAAGAGTAGAACTATCAAATTAATTTCGTTATAAACTATACTTGTTTTAATAATTGGAATTGTTGGCGTTATTATGGGGTGTAAAAACTATTTCAGCGGAGATAAATGGAGTTTAACATACTATTTTTAATAGTGTTATTAAAACACTGTCATTAACATCAAGCAAACAAGGAATCTATTTCATATGAATGAGTAGTACCGTTCTTATTAGTAATATTATTGATAACGTGTCATTGCTACTCTAACATAAGGAATATATTCGATATGAATGAACATCACTATTATTGTTATCGTTATTATTTGTTTTGGTCTTTGATAGCACATCATTGTTAATCTAACAAAAGGAATATATTTCATATAAATGAGTAGTACTATAATCTTAGCATTATGATTCGTAAACTATCATTATTGATGTAGTAGCAGTATTACTGAATATTGAATATTGAAGTGTTATTCGCAAATAGCAGTCAGGTATATCATTGTTAAAATGTGGTGGCTCACTGTTATCTTATTATAACTAGGATTTAGTCTTTGTGATATGGATGAACATACTGATAGTGATACTATAAGAATGAAATGACTATCAAGTTTTTGTTTATCATGAACACTTAATCAACACAAAAGCAACATAGAACGTATGAAACACACAATGAACATAACTAATCAAAACAAATTATAGTAAAGACAGAATCTTTATACCGATGATCATGCCAATCATTATATACACATGCATACATACATGCATTTAAATTCAAAAACTTGCGCATATATATAAATATATATATATATATGTAAAATTAGACATGGTGTGGATATGTTGGTTGCTCCCAACACAGCAAACATTAAGAAGGGAAATTGGTTTTGCTCAAGCATAGGGCGCCCCGAAGTCCAATGATCGTCATTTTCTCAAACTGCAATTTTCAGGTATACACCATTCACCACATACAAAAAATATACGTGATACATTATATCATTACTAAAATGTTTTATAACATGGTATTCGAAATACATCAAACAATAGTGATGTAATATTTTAGATGTCATATATCAAAATGGCTCAACAGGATCTTCTTGGTTGGCAGGTGTCATACGGCGAGCAGCCTAGTCCAGGTGGCGCTTCACAGCTCGGAGTTCCAGTGCTGTGCTGTGAGCAACTGCCCCACACATGGCGAAAACGCTGCGGAAAGGCCGACTCTGGCTTTGCTTCACGAAGCTTCCGCGTAACGATCTTTGTGTATATATATATTTATGTGTATATATGTAAATATATATATATATATATTTATGTACATATATATATATTTATGTACATATATATATATATATTTATATATATAAATGTATAGTTGATGCTTCAATGGCCGCGGTGACTTTCTTCGATGAACTTGTGCTCGGCCGCGATGTCTCACTCTTCGCCTCGTTCGAGATGTAGACACCAACTGCCATGTGCCCTGGGGCAGTTTGGGGTGTAGTTAATGATCATAATAAAACCAATGAAGTTCACCTGACTACAAATAAACAAATATTAAGGATTATCGTGGCAAATAATTATTGTTATTGATCAATGTGCCTTGCCAGTACAGCCAACAAGTTCACTTGACGGTCGATGTCATTGTCTTTTGCCACATGACATCTGGCTCATCCTAGGGTCAAGTCTGCCAGTTTTGGGCCCCATTTTTTGACATAGAGCTGAATATGGGTTCTATCAAGGACTTGCACGCAAAGACTGCACATTCACATCAATAAACCACACACATACATATACGTATATATATATATATATACATTTATATATATATATATATTATATAAATACGCATATACATATATAACATGTTTTCATATTTGCACATATGTATATATATATATATTATTATTATATATACACATATGAAACAAATGGGATGATATAGCTTTATCATGGTATATAAATATATGTATATCAAAAAAATGTAGACGATGGTGTTCTTTCCATACCAGCTGAGCCGCCGCACCGCCAGGCCACAGTCGCCTTTGTGTCCCAAGTTCCAATCCTCGCGGCGTTGGGCAAACGTTGGGCGAACCTTGGAGAAATTATCCAAATGTGAGGAAATATACCAGAAACGGAACACACACACATATGCATATATACATATAACCATCTATTTACTTATATGTATAAGTATAATCCGCAATATACATATGTATATACATACATACATATGTACACATGATGATACATGCTTCTCGTTGTCCTTCACCTGACATGCCGTGGAGCAGTAGTACCGCCTTGGTTGGGCCCATGAAAAAAGCTCCGGTTGGCGGAAGGTTACTTATCACCATAGGATTAAGATATAGTGATATAGTGGATAATAATGGAATAATCATGGATATGAATGGGGTGATAATGGGATTATAATGGGAGAGTAATAGTTACCCTCTGGTAAACATACAAAAAACTATGGGAAATCACCATTTTTAATGAGTAAATCAACTATAAATGATCATTTTCAATCGCTTTTTGTTGGTTTACCAGAGGGTATATTCCATATTTGTGGGATCAGAAAGGGATTATCATTTCTATGGAACATAGCCATCAACAATTGGGATTTAACCAACAAACATGGATGTATGATGGTATAGGATTGGTGTATGATGGGGATAAGTATGTGGAAACCCATAGTTAGCTAAGTCGGCGAACACCACAAGATGAATCCTATGATTTGTGGTAGATCGAACGAACTAGTCAACGGGGTGTATATACCAAGATAGCTATGGACATTAAAGATCGCTATGGAACATGGTGCATCTATGCATGATCTTCTCATCAAAGATGATGATTTTGCATATCGTGTGGGTAAATCATATACCCTCTGGTAAATCACCAATTTTTAATGGAAACAAATCTTCCAAATTCTATGTTAATTAACCAGGGGTAATAGTTCACTTACCTGACTGAAGGCTATAGTGGGATGATTTCCCCTTATGAATCATCATTACAGGGCTCGGTCGCGACGTGAGGTCGTGATGAAATTGGTCCAGATTTACCCTCTGGTAAATTAACTTGGCTTTGTCTGTCACTTGGCTTCTGGGAACATCCAGCTTATACCCTGGGGCAAAGCAACATAGATGGTGGTTTGGAACATTTTGTATTTTTCCATTCAGTTGGGAATGTCATATCCCAACTGACGAAGTCATATTTTTCAGAGGGGTAGGCTCAACCACCAACATAGATGTGATTAAAATCACCATTAAAGAAAAAGGTACCCTCTGGTAAAATAACATAGACCCTGCCAGATAGGGGTTGGAAGATTAGTTTCCACTAAGAATTGGTGATTTTCAGGGTCTATGTTAATTTACCAAAGGGTAATATGTGTCAAAACCGTATCCAAAATAGATGTCATATATAATGTCAGATATGGTTTAAATGGGTTGGTAATGGGGTGGTAAATTTCATGATACGTGGTATCAAACACCATTAACCGCTCACCAAACTCTGGTGGAAAACAAGAACTATCAATAATCAGCAGGCACTCATAGAAGTTCTATTGGGTCAAGTCACGCAAGGCTATGAAGATGCTGGCAAAAATTCGGATGGGCATTGACGTTGACATCAGCGGTGACATCGCCGGCATTGACGTTGGCATGTGCCACAGGAGTCACAGGGTCAGACTCCCAGAATCCACCCGAGCCGTCATCAACATCAACATCCTTTGGTCCACTCTTCTTGCGAGGAGGTTCTGCAGGTTCAGGAACTGGAGCAGACTTTCGTCGCAGTGGGCTGGACGGCCTTCCCGGCCTTCTGTTCAAGTTCTTTCTGTTCTGCCTGCCACTCTTTTGCTGTGACAGGGCAACCGTTGTCAAAGTGCTGCTCCATGGACCACTCATTTGCTGAAATCTTTTTGCCACACTTGGGGCATGGGGTACGTGAATCCTCGGTTTACACATTCTACTCCTCAAAACTAAAGCTCTTGATGGAAGTTTCTAATGGTTTACTCAGTTTACTCCTACTCAGGGAATTCATGATTTACTCCTCTTAAGATTGACGACTTAATAGACGGGGTCTCCAATCACGCAATTCGCCATTAGAAATTCACCATCAACCGCTGATGTCGAAGGTCGACCCTGGCACCTCTCCACTGGGTATGGGTCAAAACCTGTACCATATCTGGTTGGTGGTTGAGCCACCCCTCTGAAAAATATGACTTGGTCAGTTGGGATGATGACATTCCCAACTGAATGGGAAGTCATATAATTCCATGGTTCCAAACCACCATCCAGATATTTATCCATATTTTAGGGAAGAACATCATGGAAAAATCAAGCTATTCCCAGGGTACCAGGACAAGTGCCATGATGTTAGTCAAGGAATACAAAATCACCTCTACTTTGCAGATTTATATCACCAATTCATGGTACATCTGTATATCTTCATACCCTGTAATTATATCTCCATGATCCATTATATATTCATTGGCTTGAGCAATAATTACAATAATCCAAAATCTGCCTGGAATTGGTTGTATTCGAACAAAACATCTCCGATTCAATGACAATTTTCAGACACATCCATGTTGTCCTTCCGTCTCCGTTTTCCTTAGCTTCGCACTGTTTGCATTTGCTGCACTTCTCGGTCGCCTGATGGAAATTGTGCGAGAACCGAAGGATTTGGACGGATTTTTTTCGTGGTTTCATAGCATTGAAATTGGGGGACCCAACCATCCACAATCCGGGGATCTAACCAAGAAACATGTTTTTTTTTGGCGGTTTTTGATGGTGATATTTTGTTGCGATATACTGTAATTAATGGGGATGTATTGATCAATATTGGCAAACCCTTGAAGTCTTGGATTGAATGGTGTATTGATGGGTATACAATGGGGACTATGATAAGCTGGCCAAGTTTTGGAACATCAATGAATTGGTTTAAGGAAATATCTTAACGGGAAACCAGTGTTTCTACATGTTCTTAGCATGAAATACAGGGAAACCCATTTCTTTTATCATAGCAAAACATGAATTTAACCTAATTCAACCATCAAGAAAAGCAGCTATTCATGGGCTATTCATGGGGATATCATGTGATATGTAACCAACTCAACCAACAAACATTGAATGGTTTACCCATCATCTAGGGATCGATCAGAACTGCTATGCCAAGGTGAAGGAAAACCCTAAACCCTTCGCCAAATCTTCACATAGCTATGGAAACAGGATGCACATGGTACATTTATGGATGATTCACCTATATTTACCTTTTTAAATTGGTGACTTTCCAAGGCTATGTTAAATAAGCAGAGGGTTTCTATCAAATCATATTCAGCATCATCCGTGTTTTTTTTTTTAATGCTCAGTGAGTTTGAACCATAGCTAAATGGCTTGATGTTATGTAATGATGATAAGTATTGGACATAACATATGTAAAAAAAACAATTGGGATGTATGGGTGTTGGTGCTTCAAGCAAAATAGTGGTCAGTAAAAGCTATGTGAATCCCTGTGTGAAACACAGAAACATGGCCATTTTTTAACCAAAGCATTGGATGATTTGGGGGTGATATAATTTGGGAATACCCAATATTTTACTTTCAATCATACAATCATATGGATGGATTCGGATGATCCCAATATTATGGGAGTAGCCAATAGAAGTATGAAGTATCCTGCATATATTCAGATTATGCGGCTTCACAATTCAAGGATTTTGAATCCGAATCACTCTTCTGGTTCTGCGTGTCCGGGCGTTGTCGGTCTTCTTCTCGTTGGCTCATACCAAAACTCTTTGCCATTGCTGTTGCCACTCTTTTCATATTTCACTGTTGTTGATTTTCTGTGGATTATCGGTGATTTCTCTCTTCATTATGTATTTCATACTATTTGAAGTTTTGGATCCTTAGGTCCTGCCAGATTTCGCTTTTGGATCTGTCTGCCAAATTCGGTAAACATCACAATTTGGGGGTATTTACCATTTTCAGACAGACCCATTTTTCCATGCTGTTGGTCTTTTGCTCAAGTTATAAGTTATTTTATATCCCATTTTCTATCTCCATCAAGTCTAGAATTCTATAGCATGATATAAACAACCCAGTTCTTTTATGTTGTTTTTGCATGTTCAGAAGTTTTGCCGCCGCCTTGGCATAACAGGTGGCACAAAGTCCCTCCTGGGCACGTCGATGGCGTCGACAGTTTTGATTTTTCCCTCTATGAAATGACTGAGAAAAATACGGATTTATATGGGTTTTATAGGGACTAACCCATTATGATGCACTAAGATGCATTAAGTATGGTTTCTAAGTTTTTGTATTTGGGATAATATGACAGAACGGCGATGTAATATGATGGGACGTAGTCAACAAATAATCTTGGATCTTCTGAAACATAAATCATTTCAACCTTTTTCCAACCAGCAATGTTTGCATACCAGCCCCGCTTTGATACCGAAGGCTACTTTATACTGCCCGTCCTTGGCGCTTCGCAGTGTGCCCGCTTCCATGGCGCTGAAAAAAGGACAAGAAATGGATCAGCGTCACCTGCAGGTTTGACAAATATTTGATGACAAGTATATATTTATGGCCCAACTAACACTTATACATGGGAATATAACTACTATAACTGAGCCAAGCACAATTATGTATCATTATAATCCCAGTCAATAACTCATAAGGGCCATTTTTTTATGTTATTATTATTATCTACATTCATCCCAGTTCAAAAATAAATTGGTGTCGTAGTGGGATGGTGCTTTTCTACTGGCTGTTGAAAAATCACTGGCTGGTGGTTTTTTGAACCCATCTGGCATGGAAAATGTATGGAAAATATATGGAAAATATATGACATTCCTATCAATATATAGGAAAATATATAAAAGTCATGTTTGAAACTATTTGAAACCATCCAGATCAACACCAACCAAGAATTCCCAGAAGAACAACTTGGTTACGCAAAGCGATTGCAAAAAAAGGCCATTGTCACCCCAATCTGCACCATGAGAGATTCACTCCGGTCCACCATGACAGCCATGAAAATCTACGATCTACGCGCCTACGCGCCCGTTTTCGACGCTGGCGTCTTGGGCCACAGCCACGAGTGAATTGATGAGTTGCTGAAATTGGAGCTGTGGAACGCAGTCAAATCACTATATTGAACAGAAAGTAACACATCTATAGCAATAATACATTGAAAAGTAAAACATCTATAACACATGAAAATGTCTATTATTTTGGATGGTCTATAACAATCTATATGTGACTATGTGATATAATGTGGCGCTAGAAACAAGATAACCAGGTTTATCATTGGGTTGCCGACAGCAACATGATGTAACAATCTATATGAAACTGGAGTTCTGCGATTGATATCCAAGGTATTGGGGAAATGAATTAGGGATGTCTTGGTTGGTAGGCGCCAGCTCTGGGCTTGAACCTTGAAACTCACATGCTGGAAACAAACTACAATATTTGCGACTATGATGTTGTTTAAACATAACCAAGTGTAAGTCTAAATGTGCAAGTGCAAATGTATATATATATATATACACAGATAGATATCACATATTATGCATAGATGAGATGCTTACATATGTATACACAGAAACAAATCGTCAAATGGATAAATGAATATGTATACAAATACAATTACACAAAATCAACACACACCCATGATTGATATATATATATATACATATTATTATTATATATATACATATATGTATATACATAATTATACCTATATATATATATATGCAAATATATCACATACCCAAGCATCGTAGATCAATCTCACTAGCAAATTCCTATCCCAAGGCACTGGTCCAACTTCCCCGGAACCTGCTGCATCCGTTCATCTAAGGCATCCTGGTACATGACGGGGATGGGCGTTGGTCAATGTGAGGACCCAACGGGGGCCGTATGTGGTCTTTTCAGGGAGTTTGATTTTATCTTGGATTTCAGCAATGCATTTTTCTTGGGCTCTCAAGTTTGATCAAGACATGCATATAGCAGATGAATCAAAAACTGTCGAACGGCATGAACAGAATGCCGCTGCCCTGTCTTGGAGGCTCCCCCATGCTGCAACAGTGCGGTTGTGAATGTGTGAATATTCAGTCAGGGCCCAGGAAGGAGATACAGCTTGAGTATTGTACAAGAATTCGCTGTATAAGAATTTGAGGGGCTCGAATCCAAGGCGGGCTACATATTTTCAGGCATACCAAACACATAGTACTTTAACAATTTGAGGGGCCCTGGAATAAGATTGCCAAATTCTTAAATCACTGCTTTTTCGTGAGGTTTACAATTCCCCTTTGCGCTTCATTTTTTTGGCGTGACCCCTGATATCGTTTTACGGGATGAAATTGGGCTTTGCAGAAAAACAATTTTTCAAGCTAAACAATTTTTCAAGCTCCGAAAAATTGTTTTTTCCGCGCTATTCTTTGAAACTCAAACAAGCCCGGCTTTGCAAGAAAACAACTTTTCAGGCTCCTTTCAAATGTTTTTTCCACACTGCTCTTTTGCAACTCAGAGAAGCTCGGCTTTGCAAAAAAACAATTTTTCAGACTCCAAAAAATCGTTTTTTGTGCACAAACCTGATAAAATTCATACTAGCCTGGCTTTACAAAAAAACACAATTTTTCAGGCTTAAAAAAAATGTTATTTTCCGTGCTGCTCTCATGAAACTCAGACATGTCCGGCTTTGCAAAAATCAATTTTTCAGGCTCTAACAAATTATTTTTTCGCATGCCTCTTGTCAAATCTGCCAACTCCACCTTGTTACCTCGTTTAAGCTTGCTCCAACTTGTGCAGATGCATGCAATATATAACTAAGAATGCCCTAAGAATTTGAGGGACCCTCGGCCTGTTGTGGTGTAAATTCGTCTGCATTTAAAAATAAGAATTTGAGGGACCCTGCACCTGAAGCTTTCGGATTCTTAACCAGCGCTCTGGCTGTAGTAGTAGCACCGGAAACGTCAAATTCCGAAAAGGTTTACATGCCCAAAAGGTGGTGCCCCATACTTAGCTAAGTTGGCTTGTCAGGTTAAATATGACATATGGTGAATATATCTATACAATGTGGCGCTCCCTCGTTAAAAGTTGGTTTATAGCCCCATCTAACTACAGTTAAAATTTCCATAAACCCTAGTTATTGTAGTTTTAAGCCAACTTAGCTATCTTGGGTGCCCCACATGGTCAACAATTTAAAACTAGGGGGGCACCACCTTGTCGCACCTTGGCAACCTCGCTTGCGTCGCTGGCCCAGGCGCGACAGTGCCGCAGCAACGCCTAGCGTTAAAGCGTTCAGATGGGTTTCATGGGGTTATGAAGAAGATGTGTTTGAAAACGAAAACATGGTTGAATATTATCTGCATAATAAGAATATATATATATATATATATTCAGAAATGTATTTAAATAAAACGATATGTATGCGTTTCATGATTTTGGTTTGTATATATATATATGTTACAGCTTGAGTATTGAGTACTGTAAAAAATGCATTGTATAAGAATTTGAGGGGCTCGGATCCAAGGCGGGCTACATATTTTCAGCTATACCAAACACATAATACTTAAAAAAATTGAGGGACCCTGGAATAGGGTTGCCAAATTCATAAATTACTGCTTATACGTGAGGTTTGCAATTCCCCTTTGCGGTCCAATTTTTGTGGCATGACCCCTTATTGCCCGAGTTTTGCAGAAAACAAATCAAGTTCCGAAAAATGGTTTCTTCGCATATGCTTGGACTGCTTCCAATCCACTGTTAGAATTATGATGGCCGTTTCCAGCTACAAGCCTGAAAACAATGATCAATTAAACATGTGAAAAGATGTAAAAATGTGAAAAAATGTGTTTCAAAAATGCACTTTTAAAAAATGTGAAAAAATGCATTTCAAAAACGTAAAAAATGTGAAAAATGTGAAGAAATGTGAAAAATATGAAAAATGTGGTACATGTGGAAAAACATGTTTTTTTTTATCCTTTTCCTAGTTTAAATTAAATAGAATCTACATTCATTGTGAACCACATGAATCATTGAAAATGAATATATGCTTCTGTGGAATCCTAATGTTTAAGTTTAATATTCTATAATTAAACATTGGGTTTCAAAGAAAACCTGGGAAAAACCTATCTCTAGAAAAAAAATGGAAAATGGAGCTGAGAAACAGGAACTTTTCAATTGCCTTTTGTTCCCATTTTTCCGCATTTTCACATTTTTTCACATTTTTCGCATTTTTTCACATTTTCAAAACACATTTTTTTCACATTTTTTCCAGTTGCATTTTCAAAACGCATTTTTTTCACATTTTTTTTGCGCATTTTTTCAAGTGCATTTTCAAAACATATTTTTTCACATTTTTTCCAGGTGCATTTTCAAAACGCATTTTTTCACATTTTTCACAGTTTTTCACATTTTTGTGAAAAAATGTGTTTGAACATGCACCTGGAAAAAATGTGAAAAATGTGTTTTGAACATGTGAAAAAAATGCGTTTTGAAAATGAACCTGGAAAAATGTGAAAACATGTGTTTTGAAAATGCACTTGAAAAAATGCGAAAAAATGTGATGAACACATTTGGAAAACCAGTTGGGAAGGTGGAACTCTGATTTCTTTTTCTTCAGGTTTGATTTTTTGGGGTTGGACCTATTGTGGTGGACATTTGCCTGCATTAAAAAATAAAAAATTGAAGGGCCCTGGGCCCTGGGCCGCAAGCTTTCGGATTCTTAACCAACTCTCGGGCTGTATATGTAAACATATATGCTTAGATTGTGGTTTTAGTTAATGGGGTCTACTGCTTTTGGTCCCCTGTTATCATGGCTGGATGGGAACACCGCGGGCAAAACGTATGCAATATCGGACACTTTACATTCAGTCAGGGTTGATATAACTTGATATGTACATGTACACATGTCAATTTCATATACATGTGTGATTGTTTTTATGCAAGTGCAGGATTAAGCAGCATTTCTCACGTGGAATTAAGCTAGATAACTGGCTAATTTCATGTCCGGGACCCAGTTGGTACGTCGTTAAAGACAACGGTATAACCCATGTTGTATGGGGTAACCATGAACAACCAGGAAAATAATTTGGCACGTGCATGTCACTGGGAAAACTTCTGGGCTTTTAAATATGAGGATAGGATCAATGCTTGTTTTGCTTTGGTTTCTTTCTGATCTTCTGTGATCACATGGAACCATGCTTGTAGAAGAAAACCACTGCCTCCAACATGCAGGAAAACAAAGGAATACATCTGTTTTCAATGCTGAGAAACTCTTTGTGGCACACAAGGGCATTGAACATTCCCCCAGGGTCAATTGCAAGTCACACCACATCCTTGCTTCAAAGGGTTGTAGCTCACAAGGTACTGTCATGTCCTTGTGTCTGCAGGGGTTGGCGCAGTCGATGGTTTTGGAGCTTCCAACCTCTTGTTTGGTTGTAGCCGTGCATCGTCAGCAAGAACTGAGGGTCTGGACGGTATGGTGTCAGCAGCACTTGACGGCCTTGGCGATATGTGGTTAGCAATGCTGGACAGTCTTGATCGTGTTGGCCGCACACATGACGGCCTAGCATCACCATGCCCTCTCTTTCGAGACATATCTTGAAGTGCATCGTTGTGTCTGTCATGTGTAGCGTTTCCACAAGGTACTGCCACGTTGCATTGTACGAAGTCCAATCCTTGACGCCGCTGTCGGCCGATGTGACAAATCCGGCCAACAAGTTGTTCATGTTTTTGGAGACAACTTGGCCATGAAACTAAAGAAAACAACAGCGCATTTTGCTTCAAATCCAACTGGCCAACTTCACAGCTGCTCCTTAGACAGATATGAAGTTTTTTGTTGTCACCATCTGAAGCACACCCACTGACGTCCCTCAGGGGCTCACTGTGTTGGACGTTTCGTCCTTTTCACATTTACAATTTCTGAGCAGCAGTCAAGAATCAGTTGGGAATCAGATTTTGCTTAGTTTTCCTGCTCAAAGCGTGCAACCAGAACCCTGACAAAAACGTCGGTGCGGACATGAACAAATATGACGCGCTGTCAACATATAAAAAACCTTCAGGCTATAATGGGATGCTGGGTTGGCCTGCTGCTTCTCTTCCACTGCTGCTGCCTGAGCCACGGAGTTTTCAGCCTGGCGCTGGACAGCATGTTTAACATATTGGCGCAGGAAGAAAACACGTGCATTTTGTCTTTGGTATCTGCCATGTGTTTGCATTGCAGGACACGCAAATCCCAATTGCCCCGCATTGCCCATTGCATTGTGGCGCCATGAGCCTGCGCCTTTCGCAAGTCCAGCAAGTCCTGCTCGATTTGCCCGCGCAACTTGGAGAACTCCTACCCAGAAGCCGCTTGTGGTGCTACAGTAACCTTGGCGCCTTGGTGGGTTCATGCCATGTGCCTTGAATTTGGCTATCTGCTGGTTAGTGCCACCTATCCGTCTATTCGGACGACATGAACTTTGATTGTGCAAAGATCACTCAACAACAACCGTTATGTAATTTGTCGTTTCATATCCAATTACCTGCCATTCTTCGGTCAAACCAGGGGTACTAGTAGTGGCGAGCCTCGGTGGATGCTGTGGCACCCTTGAAGCAGCATGTTTCAACATTCAGTGTGCCCAGCAAGACACGCAAAACGTGCAGATTGGAAAAAACTTTGTTCAGCTTCCGGGATCACATCTTGACATGTCATGCGTAATTTGCGTCAATGTACAAAAACACCAGGACCAAACAATATTTCACATCACAAATCTATATATATATAATTAAATATATATATATATATTTATTTATTTATTCATATATATTCAGAAAAAGAGGAAATTACATTATGTTTCTTGAACATGTTTGATGAGTTCTTGGATTCTGGGCAACAATTGCCGCAAAGCGGTTTCGCGCTCGACCGTGTTTTGTTGTCCATGGTTTCTGCCGCTCCTCCTCACAACTGGCACGTCGTGCTGCTTCATCTTTCCGTTCCTTCCACGGCACAGAGGCGCTGCTACTGTATAGGGGGTGTGGCCAAGAACAATGGCGATAGCGGCGTTGTCTGAAAAAGGCGATAGTGGGGTTGTTTGAAAATGGGGTATATTCACAAATATCCATTTTAATGGATCTAATAAATTCTAATAAGATCTAATGATCTAATCTTGATTGACCGATGGATTTAGGGGACCCCTTAAAAACCCATTTTGATGGAATGGTGGTATACTTGGGGACAACAGGGGGGGTTTCTCACGATATGTCTGCGACGTCCACCACGCCTTGGCCAACTTTTGCCGTAAGCTGTGCAGGCTGGAGCTTTGCTTCGCTGCCATGGCCTCCATTGCCTCAGTGGAAGCCTGGCGTCGCATCCAATGAGCAAGGCAGGAGGCGCCAGGAAGAGGTCGCGGCGCCAACGTGTGAACATCATCCAGCCGCTTTCAACCTTGAAAACATGGCTGGCCGTTCCGAGGACATCCTTACATGTCTTACATGTGGTTGGCAACGATGCGACGTTGAATGCAGTACGGAAACTTTGTAAAGTTGCATGTTCGTGTTGCACTCCAAATGGCCGTTTTTGGCAGTGGCCAAAAACCCTTCTGGAACTCCCTTCCGCCGGCTGCCGATTACTGAAAAATTAAACATCCAATTCTTGTGCCCCTTGGATGGTAGCATCATCCCTAAAGCAAGCGGCCTTCGGGGTGCCAAAAACCTGATTAGAAATCATTAGAATGGGTTTGTGTGAAAAAGGGGTGCCCCTAAGTCCAACGGGCGATCATCATATTCCCTCTTAAAGTGTCATTGTGCGGGTGTACCCTATTTTCAAATAAACCAGTTTATCATAGTGTTGATCATATATCCGGTTGTATCCCATTTATATCCCATCATATCCCTCAAAAACTACCATTGCATACCATGAAACAATCCCTGGTTGGTGGTTTCAACCCCACCAACCAGTTAAGCCTTGGGATTAAGCTCAGAAAAGGTGATTTGATCTACCCATTTCGGAATCGGTGACCGGCCTTGGTGATTGGCCTTTTGCGGATCTGGGCCAGCTGGAAGTACAGCTCCACAGCTACACGCCATTGGGAAACCATCCAATGGGGGTGTTTACAGGGCCAATCAGATCATCCATATGGTAGATATATCCAATGTTTATGGTGTATGTATGTATGTGTGTATGTGTGTATGTGTGTATGTGTGTATGTGTGTATGTGTGTATGTGTGTATGTATGTATGTCTGTATGTGTGTATGTATGTATGTATGTATGTATGTATGTATGTATGTATGTATGTATGTATGTATGTATGTATGTATGTATGTATGTATGTGTATATATATATCATTGCCAATCAGCCAGATACCCTGCAAACAATGACAAATTCTTAGCTGGTGAACATAGATAATCCCACAAATATACCAAACGACTAAAGGACTAGTTTGTACCCATCTAAGATTGACCTAGATTAATGTTGGGATGGGATGGGATTAACACTGTTTTTCTAACTGCTCAGGGTCAGTACCATGGTTGTAGCAAGTTATGACCAGAACGCCAATTGCAACCCCAAGTTTGGGTCTGTGTCAACTCTGACCCCAACAATTTTTCTTTGGAGAGTGTACTTTACTTCAGGAGCCAAGAAAGAGGTATGGGTAAAACATGGGGACAATTGAACCAACATCCTTTAACATCTTGCTGATGTCTAGTATTCAACAGTTTTAAACCATCCACTCTGAGAGGGCCAACCGTTTTGACTCATACCTAAACCAACAGTTCAATGCCACTCCCCAGCTTGCTGCATATTATGACTGCAAGACACTGGGGCCAGAATCTCAAAGTCAATGACCAGAATCTGCCAGTATAAGTACAATGTGGGGCCCCCTAGTTATAAGTTGGTTTATAGCCCAATCTAACTATAGTCATAACTACCATAAACCCTAGTTATTGTAGTTATAAACCAACTTAGCTATCTGACGGGGGCCCCATCCTGTAGGAAATTTCATCAAATTTGGATCCGATGACGTGAGATATCCCTATCCAGCGGATGTCTGGAAAAGCCTGTCGCAGCTTTTCCAAGAATAAATCATCTGCCCCAAAGCCAACTATATGCCCAAGATCGGTCCAGCCCTAGGCAAAGCCTAGACACAAAAGGAATACACACCATTCTGGTTGGTGGTATACCTACCCCTCTGAAAAATATGACTTCGTCAGTTGGGATGATTATCCCATATATGAAATGGACCATAAAAGTCATGTTTGAAACCACCAACCAGTAATTTTGTAGTATTTCACTAACAATTTTTTGGCTATATTTTTCGGCATAGTTAGCCCTACTAACCATCATTACATTGCCAATCAGCCAGATGCCCTGCAAAAAATGACAAATTCTTAGCTGGTGAACATAGATATTCCCAAACATATACCAAAAGACTAAAGGATTAAAGTATCCATGTTAATGTTATCAATGGGATTAATGTTGGGATTAACCACGGATAACATTACCATGTTAATGTTTGTACCCATCTAAGGTTGACCTAGATTATGTTGCCATTCCACTGCCAAATGACCTCAATTTTTAAGTCGGTTGAGTCCCCCAACTTGTCTCCATGGATCACCCATGGATCACATGGATCGGTGCCTAGCTAAGTTGCTTACAGACTCCTGGGGTTTATGGTAATTACTGGGCTTAACCAAAGTTAGGGCTTAACCTGGCCAAACATCACTGGGGAACACCTTGAAGCTTGGATTGAATGTGTTTCCTAAACATACTATACAAGCTTGTCAGTTGGCATTTTGAACATGTAGACAAATGTGGAAATTACTTTTTACTGCGGGAACATATACCAAATCATCCAAATCTGCGTCAAAACATAGTCCCGAAACTTCCCGGTTTATCATAGTCATCTGGTAACCCGACTAGTAACTAGTAAACCTACTTTGGTGGCTTTCGCAAACCCCAAAAAAGTACCGCCCCCACCTGCAAAGGTTAATCGTCCATCCTTCCACATCCCGGAACTCTGCCCGGGAAAAACCGTTTTCTGGGCGCCTGTCGTTGCTGTTCCGAGGTCTTAACCTCCAGGGGACATCACCAGGCTTGGTTCAAGCCATAGAGATGTCGGAGTGATAACGTTTGATCCCACTTGCTTGGGGGATTCTGATGTTCATTGGAATGATTCAAGAGAAAATCTGTAGAAAACCCTTGGTTTTTCAATTGGAAATGGCGGCTCTTGCAAATTTTTCCTTAAACCAATGCAACGAAATTTCGAGCCACAGCCACGTTTGTGCACTTTCCAATCATGATTCATAATCATGTTCTCGCTTTCAAGATATCTTATTACACAAGGGCTTCACCAACAACCATTGGCATATTCCCAGCAAGAATAGGCATATGTATGTTCTTTGCAGGTTATAACTCCTTTGACGTTATATATGTATATACACTATAGTATTATTCGCTCTGACTCTCCAGAACAATTAATACAAAGATGGAAAACCAAGCTTCTTCCAACTTTCATGATCTACAACCGTGATACTATTTAACAGGTTAAAGTTCATTTTTCATCTTTATATATATATATACCGTATTATATACCATCTGGATATTTAACATGGCCATGGAAAAGCCCTTATAAATGGAGGTTTCTAGCTGGGAAAATCATCTATTTCTATGGGTTATTTTCCATACACCTCACATGAGTTTGGAGGGTAGCTATGCACAAGCCATGCAAACCATCGCCTCCTTCATCTGCGTGAGCAAATTCTCCAGCAAAGTCCTGGAGATCGGCACGGCCAAAGATGGAGGGACTTGGAGGAGGACTTAACCATTGGTTGGTAATATACTGCTAATATTAATGGTTAATATTAATGGTTATTATATGGTTAATGAATGTTAATGATAATAATAAGGAGCCACCTACCCCTCTGAAAAAATGATGAGTTCGTCAGTTAGGAATAATCGAAGGAAGTTTAGAAGTCAAACTTCCGACAATATGGACAGATGAAAAGCAGAGCAAGGCAGAGGCAGAGAGAAGAGAAAGATTAGAAGAGAGAAGATCAGAAGAGAAAGAGTCAGAAGAAAGAAGATGCAGATGCGCGAAAAGGTAGGAAAGTCGCGAAACATTGTGTTTTTCCAATGATTTGTGGCTCCGGAGGGTCGAAAAGTAGGCTCGCTAAAGCGGCGGGTGCGGAGCCAGCTGGCCAGATGAGTGATGAAAAATTGCACGCCATTGTGGCGCGAAGCACATTTCCAAGGCAAAATGTACAAAACACATCAGGTTCGGACCACTTTTGGAAGTTGAGATGTCGAAAAAGTGCACGCCGTTGTGGCGCGAAGCACATTTCCAAGGCAAAATGTACAAAGCACCACGTGTTCACGCCACTTTTGGAGGTTCGGATGTTGAAAAAGTGCACGCCGTTGTGGCGCGAAGCACATTTCCAAGGCAAAATGTACAAAACACCACGTGTTCACGCCACTTTTGGAGGTTCGGATGTTGAAAAAGTGCACGCCGTTGTGGCGCGAAGCACATTTCCATTGTCAAAACACCACGTGTTCACGCCACAAAATGTACAAAACACACCAGGTTCGGACCACTTTTGGAAGTTGAGATGTCGAAAAAGTGCACGCCATTGTGGCGCGAAGCACATTTCCAAGTCAAACTGTACAAAACACCACGTGTTCACGCCACTTTTGGAGGTTTGGATGTTGAAAAAGTGCACGCCATTGTGGCGCGAAGCACATTTCCAAGTCAAAATGTACAAAACACCACATGTTCGCGCCACTTTTGGAGGTTCGGATGTTGAAAAAGGGCGCGCCGCTGTGGCGCGAAGCACATTTCCAAGTCAAAATGTACAAAACACCACATGTTCGCGCCACTGTTGGAGGTTCGGATGTTATATAGACAAATATAGAGATAATTAGATAGATAGATAGATAGATAGACAGACAGACAGACAGATAGATACATAGATAGATGGACACACAGATAGGTAGATGACTAGAAAGGTAACTCTGTAGATAGATGGCGAAAGAGAAAGACAGAAAGGCAGAAACACTCAACCACCTTTCAATCCATCAGTCGGTTCGCTCTGCCATTTTTGCGTCACAGCAACTCACCTCTCCTATAGGGTTTTCATTTTTGAAACTTCCGCCACCGCCTTGTGCGGTACTACTGGTATTCCCAACTGAATGGAAAAATAAAATGCATGTGGGAAACATACAAAAAACTATGGAAAGATCCACCATTTTCAACGGGTAAATCTACTATTTCTATGGCCATTTTCAATAGCTACGTTAAATTACCAGAGGGTAACCATGACTCAAACCTTGGGATTGAAGCCATGACTAGTGGATACATATGGATGGATGATTCTGGTTGGTTTTTGTCCCCCGAAAAATAGGTGGTGCAACCATCCAATTTGTATTTGCCCCATTTCAATAGAGCGGGATCCCTCAATCCCAGTGTGATCGCAATTGTATGGGAAAATGAGAGAAAGATCGTAGGAAATCAGGGGTAACTCCGAAAATCATACAGAAAAATCATGGGAAACTCCGAAAATCATACAGAAAAATCATGGGAAACTCCGAAAATCATACAGAAAAATCACGGGAAACTCCGAAAATCATACAGAAAAATCATGGGAAACTCCTCAAATCATACAACATGGTCAGAATTCAAGAACTTTATCACAGTTTATGGCCACTGGGGAGGGTTTCCCAATCCCATTCCCATCCATGGTGCCGTCCAGTGCTGCAAATGGATACCCCAAACCTCCTAATCGCTACTTCCATTCACCATTGGATAGATTTCTAAATCCCATCATTTATCAAGTACATCCACTTATATATATATATCCCCATATTTTGTATTATGTTGTTATATTTTGATGATTAACATCCCAGAACATCCCTATTGCAAAGAAATCATCAAGCAACCGGGGTAGATCGCAGCACCGTGCTGCTCCTCTGTGACTGCAGTTCCGCGTCATGTTTCTTCAGCTCCTCGCTGCGATGTGGTGACACTCCAAACAACAGGGGGAACACAACCAATTGGATATAGTGCGGAGATCATGCGGATATGATTGATAAATTGGGAACATATTTAATCCCTTCCCCCTAATACGAAACACTAGAAACCATGGCTTAGTAGACGGTTTAGACTTATTAGGGGGATGAGGTTACATTCTCCCAAACAAATGGGCGACTAGTACATTTCCTCCCAATTTTTGTACAAAGTCCCCCAAAATGGACTCTCAACCACTAAAACATGGGATTTGAATTTGAATGTGCTTAAAGTGAGGACTTCTCCTGGAAATGATTCGGCTTGCCGATGGGATCATCACGTTTGTTGGATTGAAAAAATACAAATAACATCCAATAATCAAACATGGCAATAGGAAATCTCCTATACATGGATGCTGTAATTCAATGGGAAAATCAATGAACACCATCACTTGTATGTTTGATTGCCGGAGGGCATTTCAAACCACCAACCAGAACTACATCTCTACATCCGGCAATACGAAGGTTGTATCCCAATCGGTATTTTTGTTTAGATTATTTCCACCACGGTTGTGTCCCCAAGCTCAATGTTTGCTGCTTCTACCACCAATTTCCCACCTTTTTGGCTTTCATGCTAATGTTTTGTTTGTTCCCATCATTAGTCAGTAAGATCTACAGGCAAATTATGACCATTCCCCAAACAAGAAATAAACATAAATAAACATTGACTACGGCGCTTGGTCGGGAAGTAAGGTACCTGCTTAAATCAAAGGTAGAGAGAATATATCTTTTAAGTATTCTTACCCTCTGGTAATTTAACATAACTATGGAAAATCACTTTTTTTTGAAAACTCACTATTTCAATGGCCATTTTCAATAGCTATTTTGACAAAAGCAGAGGGTATTTAATTATTAGGACAATTATCGGCCCACCTTTAGTGGTTGGTGGCTCCCAGGCTTTGAACCCACATTCCTCACAGTAGTCCACCCCTTGCCAGCCTCTTGCTGCTGAGCAAGCTGGCTTGTCCATGGTGCCTATTAGCGACACAAGATATTGAGGGTCTGAACACTCTGTAACTGATGGGTTCCAGAAAACTGCGATGATTGGCAGAACAAATTCATCTGCCAGCTGGCGCAAAAGGAAACAGAAAAACCTATGCCGAATCCTCCTGCCCTGTGTGAATTTCGTGATTTCAACATCCCGATCTACGATGAAAGCCATGGCGGCCCTCGACAAAAGACAGGAAGGCTTTGATGTTATGAGCTGTCCAGCTGAAAACGGTGAGGGTTTCTAGCTATCTTCACTACATGCTCATGTAACTTTCACCACATGCTCACTTCCACCTACATATCTGTACATATATATATATACATAAATACATATTCCGTAGATAGATATTATATATATGATTATATTTGTATTGCTGGAAAATGGCCATGTATTTGCGGTGCTGCACCAGTGGCTTTCTCTCAGGGTCCCAGATACTCGTCCGCACTCCACTCCAAGGGCCTCGTAGGGCTCCGGCTCGCGCCCAGCCGGCCAGCCTTCGGACACCGTCGACATGTAGCGACTGTGGGGAGATGGTATATGATAGGGATATAGTGAGGATATAATGGGGACATAGTGATCATTAATGATAGGGATGACAACGGTCATGGTGGATAAAGATCAGGCTATCTCATTTTCTGTTTTGGAATGTTTTCGGTTCCTGTGGAGATTAATGGATGCCCAATGGACTGAAGATGTTGAGCATATAAAGGAAGAAATCAAACTTCAAGCGACATTGTCACATCATCTCCACACCAAAAACAAATGTAAAGCAGGCAGCAAGGGTTGATTTGCAAAAATGTTGCAAGCCAAGTAATAATACTTCTTTCCTTTAAACTCTTGGGTGTTGGGTCGACCATACTATTTTGATATTGACTAATTTTGTTTGGTGGATAGCTCTCATTTCTGCTTCAAGGAGAATTCCATTCTTGACTGGTATATACATATAGTTACATAATGTTACATATATGTATACATAGTTCCAAAAACACATACACTATATACATCTTCGTACTTAATCCCCTTGAAAGCAACCATGTTTTTCAAAATAACTTGGGATCAAACACATATATGTATACACACAGACCTGATTACCCCTTCAAACCAACCAGACATAACCAATTTCACTCCACAAACAAACACTGTAGTCATTTTGACACAATCGATTTTCTTAAATAAAACTGCAAAAGTTTAATTTTGAACATTGTATATATATATATGTATATAAATTGTAATACCCAATGAATAGTACAGTACTCATGTTCATCCATTGTTCAATGTGTTAATTTTACAAGATTTCCCAAACAAAAATCGCAAGATTTCCCAAGATTCTGCAAGTGTCTCTGGTTGGTGGTTTTAACCATCTTGAAAAATATGAAAGTCAGATTGGATCATCATCCCAACTATTGGGGAAAATAAAATTCATGTTCCAAACCACCAAGCAGTAATTCTAGTATTTCACTAACAAATAAGGCCATATTGAGGGATAGTTACCCCTACTAACATTCATTTTCACGTGAGGTCGCAATCATCATCCCAACTATTAATCCGTTATACCTTGGAAGATTTCCCCCAAGGACTTCGACAAATTTCCCCATCGACATCGGCACCAGGAAGGCCCAAGATCTCGGTCAACCAAGTGGACCAAGCACCTGGCGCCCGCGTTGATTGGGAATTCAGAGAGACCTAAATTTTAAGGCAACATGGATGAACATGGGTACTGTATTAATATTACCATATATTACCCATAGTTTTATATTAGTAATACATACCCATATATTACTATCTCTTAATTACCCATAGTTTTATATTACCCATTATACATATCCATATCTGGTGGGTGGTTGAGCCTCCCCTCTGAACAATATGAAAGTCAAATGGGATTATTGTTCCCAATATATGGCAAAAATCATCCAAATGTTCCAAACCACCAACCAGTTATTTATATAACTTAGTTAAGTGTATATATATATGATAATTAAATAATGTTAAAAGAAAACCAGTACAGTAACTGGGCAAACCAGGATCTATTCGGACCTTGAAACATCTGAGACAAAGAAACGTCGATTCAACAGGTGCATTCGTTCCGTCGAGAGGCCACTATTCCAAAGCACCACAATACGACCACTTAAAAATGGAGTTGGAACATATCGTTAACCCCCATTAAAAAAAATAAACGTTATGAGAACGTTTGACCACTATTCAACTTCTATCTATCATGAATAGCCAGCACAATGTCAAAACAACTTACATATATCTTGAGCTTCCAAACCCGCTGGATTCCTGGGGTGTGGAAAAATAACCGGGGCTTTTAAACAAAACCCGAGGTTTTTATTCACCCCTGTAAAATTATGGGTTAGTACGGGTAAAGTACGGGTTCAGCAAGGGCTAAGTACGGGTTGAGCATGGGAAAAGTACGGGTTTACCGAGGTTTTCAGTCGAAAACCACGGTCTTCTTGATTTTCTGCAAATACCTGAGGTTTTGGCGTTGACCCGAAGAATTTTGCAGGTTTGGGTGCTTAAGGTGTATATATATATAATATATATATATGGGCACAAATGGGCACATAAACCCTTTCGACACAATGCATTTACCCTCTGGCAATTTCACGTAGCTATATGAAATCACAACTTTTAGTAGGTAAATTATGGTAAATGATCATACATATTCAAAAGACATCGATAGATAGGCCATTTCCCATCGCCCTGTTAAATGGCCCGAGCGCTACTTCTTCTCGCCAAATAAGAAAAATGCAATGGAATCTTCACTGCCACAGAAACCTTCAACAAAGGACCCGGGCTCTTCTGGTTGGTGGTTGAGCCTACCCCTCTGAAATATATGAGTCAGCTAGGATTATTATTCTCTATATATGGGGCAATAAAGAATGTTCCAAACCACCACCCAGTCTTTGTTTTGTACCCTCTGGCAAGCAAGCATGGCATGCTGGATAATCCATTCCTCTAACGATGATCCACATAGTTTTGCGACATGTAGATTTTTCATTGCCATGCTACATGTTCTGCAACCAGGCTACTTCGAAACTACATACAGTAAACACCAAATTCCCAACATGCAATGCCCTAATCCAGCACATGTAGTCCCAATATAAATGCAACAGCCTTGCAAACAACTATTTTAATCCCTAATGTGCATATGTTTAAAACCCTCCAAAAAAAGGAAAAGTAAAATCCTACTGAAATAGTGGTAACTTACCTTTCTATATGTCTTTTGGTTCTTATATCTGTATTGTTAAAAAATGTTGTATCCTGCAAACTCCTACAAACACACATGTTATATGTCGCTTCCTTTCCAGCTTGAATTCCTTTCGGCGCCCCGGCTCCTACCCGGGCGCGGCCGGCGGCACCTATCTGCTTCAAATCATTCTGAAGCTCTTTGCCTCAGATTTTGGACCAAAGTGAAGAGGCTTGAGATGTAAATCTATTTGCTAAATAGGAAACGTGACATACATTGAATATGTGTATATAAATATATATATATATATATGTATATACATATATGTATATATATATATATGTGTATATATATGTATATATATATATATATGAATATGTATATATATATATACATACATATGTATATATATATATATACATGTGTATATATATATGTATATGTATATAAATATAAATACATATGTATATGTATATGTATATGTATATATATGTATGTGTATATATATGTATGTATATATATACATACATATGTATATATATATAAATGTATATCTGTATATATGTATGTTAATATGTATGTATATATGTATGTGTATATATATATATGTATATATATGTGTATATAAATATGTATGTATGTATGTATACATATATATATATATATATCTATGTATGTATGTATGTATGTATGCATGTATGTATGTATGTATTTGTATGTATTTGTATGTATATATATATATAGAATGTATACATCCACATGCAAAATATAACTTAGGATGTAATGTGGGACATAGACCATTGTATAATTGAACATTAATTTTCTATCTGTATGGTTTTTGAACCATTGTATAGACGGGTTGGCAACTTGTGATATAAATCCTAGGGCTGGATGATTGGAATATTTCGAGGAAAGCCCGAAATCTCATAGTGAAAACCCTAAAATGATGAGATTTTCCCTATATGTTTCCTATATTTTAGGTGAAAACTAGGTTAATTTCCTTGGGATTTTCCCTAAAATCAATGCATTGAGAATTTTCGACGAAATCATGGGCAATCCCTGGGCGCGCTGACCGGTTAAAGATCACCAAATACCAGGGGAACCAGTTTTTATAGGGCTTTGCTGTGGATGGTTGCGAAATCCTGCACCAGTTGATAGATGGTTCATCTCATTATTTAAAGGGTTTCAACCATTCAAGGTGATGCAACCATCCTTTTGGTCGTGCAGGATTTCTTCCATCCACGTAATGGGCCATCTATGACATAGCAGTAACAAATTTCCGGAAAGGCGGCACAGCATCCTGTCCTCCTTGGGTCCACTGGTGTTGGTGGCCACGTTTGTCCCCACCTCTGCTACAATTCCGAAGTATGCCATCTCAAAATCGAGCATTTAAAAACACAAAGAAACGTCTTCCATTTTTCCTTGCATATCATTAAGCAACGTTGGTCGCCGAGCAGCCAAACAAATCGACCAGCTGAATCACCCGTGATCTGTTTGTTATCAATCCGCTTTTGAGGTGGTTTTGTACCCATACCAACCTGTCGATTTACCACCTCGAGTGGAGTTTGGTATGGGGAAACCACCTAGTTGGTATGGGGATACCATTCCAACTTAGAGTTTTACCACCTAGTTCTACGAGTACCCAGTTGGAGTTTGTCTGAATTTTTGGGAAAACTCTGTTGTGCATCTCAGGGATTAAAATCGCATTTTCCCTATAACTTTTCGGGTGTGTACCTCATTTTCAGACACGACACGCCCAAGAAACACATATTGTCAGTAATACGCACTGCTCCCCTGAACATGTTTCATTGTTGGTCAGATGTATTTTAAAGAGACCAGAAAACATTAAAACATATTCAACGTTACTTATGATTGTTTACCATTACACCCCTCGTGAATTATACCCATCTATCCGCATGACATCACCAGTGTCACTAGTTAAATCCTTCTCTTTCTGATTGCTTTCATGATTGATTTTCGGATCATATTGTAGTGTATCGACATTATAATCAAACATGACTTGCTGCACGATTCAGCATTCACAGACAATTTCACCCGTAAAAATTCCATTTGCAGGAGATTTACCAGCCAACCATGCTTGAAATAACTATGAAAAATGTCATTTTCGATGGTGAAATTATCATTCAGTCATCATAAAACCACTAACTTTCAGTGATGTACCTAAGATATCCCCATTGATCCATGATTTCCCTACTAATCCCTACTAATCCCTACTAATCTCTATGACTTAGGATATTGAATTGGCTTTAGAAAATTCCTATTCATGTCTATTAATCCCATTAATCCCTTCTAATCTCCATAAATCCTTCGCGTTTCCGGGAGCTTCTTGCCTCCAACATCCCATGGATGGGATGCGATGAAGTACTGTAGTTGTGGGCACACCCAGTTCGGGTAGGGCCATCCTCCTGGGATAAGCCCGTGTTCCACGATCTTTTCCACAGCAAGTCGGTCGCAGGAGTGGTAGATGATCCGGGGCAATTCCTTCATGAGCTCTGGAACGAGGTCCGGTCGAAGATTGGTTCGGGGCCAGCTTCGCCGTGTCCAGGTCCGTGGCTTTGAAGGTGGGGTCGAGAGTGAAGACCTGCTTGACCAAGTTGGACATCTTGGCAGTTTCCATCACCTCCTTATTGTGCCCCTGGACTTCTTCCCATAGTTCATTGGATTGGTTGAAGAGAACATTTACAGGAAAAACCTCCAATGGGAAAATAACTCTGGTTTCCTGTAGACTTCCCCTTCAACAGATCCTGGAGATAAGTGGGATTATAATGGGGAAACCATTAATATATATATATCCAGTGATATTGATATGATCAGTGGATTCTATATATATATATATATATTCCATATAACCCTCTATAGTATTCCCCAGGCAGCTCCCGCTTTTCTAAAAACTTCGAGGCACATCCACTGCAAACCTGGCATTTTGTAGAGGTGGGCTCCGGACTTCAGGGAAAGCAGTGGGGTTGGTAGAGACTGGGAACATCAATGGGAATATATATATATATATCTCAATAATCATATATATATATATATCTAAATAATCATATATATATATTTAAATAATCATATATATATACTGATAATCACATATATACATATAAAATCATTGATATAGATATATACATTTATAGGGCTAATAAATAAGTTGCATATGAAATATCCAGTTACTTAGTGGGATGATTCCTTACAGCATAGTACCACATTCTCGCTGTGTATACATATATATATATACATACACGCATACACATGTATATATATATGGGTTAATTGTACCCCATTACAGTTATAGCCCGACATACCAGGTATGAGTCAGTAAGACGCCCCATCTATGGCATGTAAAACCCTACCGAAATAATCGTTTAAAACGGGTAAAGTACTTTAACTGTAGAGAATCGGAACATCAGTTTAGACAGAATAAATATTTACATATCTAAATTTGTATTATACCTATATATATATATATGCAAATTCAAGATCCATATGCAATATCATCTAAATATCCATGGCCTAAACCCATGATATCCCATTCTACCACACTGAATACACATATACATATATATATATACACAGTATGTAAATACATGTAAATCATATATACGCAGTATGTACATGTAAGTTATATATGGAAATCACTCAAAATCCGGGCACCCGAAATCACGCAAGTCATGAGGCCATAACTTAATATTGGCACCAATGGCGAATTGGGGATCCCTTTATTCAAGAAACCAACATATTAAAGATTAGTAAGTGGGCACTAGCTATAAAATAATCCACTTGTAGGTGCAACATCACCCGCTATATTGAGAGACATAGGATACAATGGGGTATAGTGGCTACTCATGCGAATATGATATTGTAGTTGTAGTCGCGGTAGTGGTGGTGGTAGTGGTAGTAGTAGTAGTAGTAGTAGAAGACATAATGGTGGTGGTGGTAGCGGCAGTAGTAGCAGCAGTAGTAGTGGTAGTAATGCTGGTAGGGGAATAGTGCTGGTAGTAATAGCATTGGGATTGAGTGAGCAAAGTGGCTTCCATCACGCAGAGCATTTCAATGAAGTGGTAGGTGTTCGGTGAATGGCCGGGAAATAGTTGGGAAAACGCAAACTGGTCGGTAAATAGTTGGAGATACCGACAACTCACCATCATTTACACAATATTCACCACCCTTTTTGCACTCATTCACCAAAACACGACAGAACATGAATTACATACCTACCCCCCATTTATCATTTGCCCCACGTTTCTCAACCACTTGCCCACCATCCCAACATGTCACCGCCGCACCTGTTGCCCCTGAAGCTCTCTCCTGCGAACAAATAACTTCGGGGCTTGGCTCTGGAGACCGGCCTTAAGGTGCATGAGGCTTCCCCAAATCACCCAAGTTATTGGTTATTAAAAAATCAATGGGAAAACCAATTGTTTGGGGTACCCATACTGCAGGAACCACCTATATATAACCAGAAACTAATGGGATATTACGAATTTAAAAAATGGAAGATTCCCACTGGACTAAATGGGATGAACTAGTCTTTTCTTGTTTAAATGGATTATGAAGCAAGGATACGATTCGTGGGATGCACATCCAAGTAAGGTGGTGGATTCCCAGTGGGACAACCAGTTGGTACCAATTCAGGCTTCTATATATATATATAAGTAAGTTTCCAAACCGGTCTATCAAACATATATGTATGTATGTAACTATGTAAGATAGACTCTTGATTCTCTGCGTCGATTTTCATACAGTAGATTGAATATGTTGAAACTCATGGAAAATCCAAACAACCGGGGTTCAATCGCTGCAATGTCGGATTTTGCGCGTTTATCCTCGAAATTGAGGCTTACATATGGATATCAACCTTGTTTATATATACACAGACATATATATATATATACGGTCAATCTTTTTAATATGCATGTGCACATATTCACATACCTAAGTATCAATCTGCTAATAATCCCTTCCTCCTATTACTAAACCCCGCCCAAATACTAAAAACTAGTGTCCATCTCAATTTTTTGAAAATTTCAGATTGGCCATTTTGATTTTAAATTGAATCCCTTTAGAGAACAATTTAAAAATCAACCTACCATTTGTGGGTTCCCCCCCTAATACTAAAAACTAGTCAACCCCGGGGTGTTTATTATTAGGGGGGTTATCCCAATCCCTGAATCCAAGCTGCCTGGCTGCTCTAGCTGATCAATGTTTTGGTGACACGAAACTGTCTGGCTGCCTGAAAGCCACCCCTCTGCCTTGCTGTCTGCAAGGTCTTTCTGCGCTGGCTGGAGTCTTGAATTTTATACATCCCATAAACACCTATGTTGAGGGTTTCCCTTGATTTAGGGGGTTAAAAGAAAAATTCAAGACTCCAGCCACTGTACTTCCTGGCTGACTGGCTGCCTTCGCTTGGACTGTATGTGTTCCCTCACTGGCTGCCTGCTTCTTTATGAGCTGGCTGGAGTCTTTAATTTATAGATCCTAGAGACATAATTCATTATCATTATGTTGTAAAGGTCCATTAATTTTGTAGGGTTTAAGAGTAATTAATAAGTATCCCCATTAAAGACTCCAGCCAGCTCTGCGCTACGCCTGCCTGGTTCTCACTGTCTGGCTGAGCTCCAGGCCTTGCCATGTCCTGTCTGGGCTGGCTTGACACAACAGCTGCTCACAAAGGCGAGACAGAGTGGCCCACCATTCTCCTGGCTGTGGTTGTTCGCCTAAACAGGCAGCCAGACAGAGCTCCCTGAACCAGCCAGCTCAGTGGCACAGAGATGCTGCTGAGGCAGGCAGACAGCACTGCACCGGGGAGGCAGACAGAGAGGCTGGCTGGAATCTTGAATAATTAATTAGTTCTAGTAAATGTTTCACCTCTTAAAACTAAAGAAATATATAATGATTATAAGGGTTGCTTTGCGGGGAATATAAGTTCAAGATTCCGTGTCTGGAAGTAACACTTCCAACTGTCGCACTGTTCACGGTGCCGCTGGTTGTGTGACGTCCGGCTGTAGAACTCATCCTGAGTGGCACCGGAAACCAGTTTAAAGCAGGGACCCCATGCAAATACCAGGGAGGGCGTTCATCACCACCGGTGAGAGCTTGTCTGGGTGGGAAGCCATGATCTTGGCCAGAATGGTGGTCTTCCACACCATATCAAGTGACGAATTCTTCTCCTTATGCAATGCTGGCCAGCACCGACGTGGCGAGAGCAAAAATTAAGTCTTCTGATCCCAACTCTGATATGAATTTCAAACAATATCATACATGTTTTTTTCTTACACAAATTTCTGCATGTAGTCTACTACCAAGCCTGCCAAAAATTCGTCAGGTATTGAAGCATTTACAGGAAAGCCCGTGCGAGCCTGCACAGTCGAATTGTTACATGGACATATCACAAGCGCCCTTTTATGCGAGAATTTACTGGAAAAATGACGCGCCCCGAGACCGGGACAACCGTTTTGTGCGAGCCCGCACTTTCGACGGACGTGCCAGAAGTTTATGCGAGAATTCTGGGAAAAAATGCCGCGCCCCAAGACCGGGATAACTGTTTTGTGCGAGCCAGCGCAGTCGAAACGCACATGGACAAGTCACAAGAGCCTACTTTATGCGAGAATTTACAGGGGAAAAAGCCAGACAACAGATTGAGCACCCTGATCAAGCACCGGCCTTAAATACCGTAAGTGGAGACAGTTTTGGGAACAAACCCACATACAATACATTGTTGGTCATGTATACGTAAATATCCCGTGATATCCCAATTAAATCCCCATACAACCTTATTGTATATCTCAATTGTTGGTTGAATACATATGTTTGATGGTTATATCCCATAATGTATGCCAATTCTTTTTGTTTGTTAACTTCCTATGTTTATAAAATGGTTGAACCACCGTATATCCGATTGTGTCCCATCAAAAATCCCCGTGCAATTGCACAAATAAAAGCCTGATGTCTTCCTCGCCCACTTAATTGGCCATGGACCAAGACTCCAATACCTATAAATACCGTTTCCATAAATGAACATCGATTTGCATCCATTTACCACATATTTTGATGTTCAGCAGGGGTAGAGGGTTTTGAACCACAACCAATTGAAACATGAAACATACCCTGTCCCATCTCATATATTTCCCTACCATGGGTTAATGCCCAATAAGCCAGTTAGTATAGCTTCCTGCAAGAATAAACAAACAACCAATATATTGGGTAGCAAAAACTCCTGCAATACTCAACCAACAAGGGATTTGTTTATAGCTATTATTTGAACAATGGATTGATAGTCTGATCCCTTTTCAATTGGTTAGACTTGAACCCCAATATTGACAATAAACCAGCAGTGGTTGTGACCCATTGCTCACGTGGCAAATGCCATGGCCTTTGTTATTCCCAATATATACCAGAATCTATTCTTAATCATTGTTACTGCAAATTAATATTACGAGCATATTCGCGTGATGTTCGCAAAAGATGATCCAATGTGGACGTAAGATGGGATATTAATGGGATATAAAGGGGTTCCAGATCATTATAAGGATGTGACTGAAAATAGTGTATATCCAAAGATGGCACTTTTGATAGGGAATATGATGCTGAACCATCAAACTTTGGGGCTACCAGACTTTCAGACAAACACAAACAGACTGTGAGGGATTATAGAAATAAAATTCCCAATATTAAAAAACGAAATTGACTGTCCATAAAATCAGCAATATATCATGGATATTACTGATTAA